TTTATTACTATTATAATTTAAGCATCTTTAATGAACTGTAATTGCATTGATCATACTTTACAAATCGATATTATTTTTAAAAAAAACACTAATATTGTTACTAACTATTAATCCAGAATATTCTGTATATATATATATATATATATATATATATAGTTGTAGAGCCGGAAGAGGAATTTATCGAAAAGAATATTCTTTGCTCAATAATTTTGTATAATATACATATATATCAAATGTTTTGCTTGTTGCACTTTAGTATGCTAGCAAAATAACTAAGTGTGAACAACATTAAATAAATATTTTATTCCAAGTATGTTAGATCATGAACTGAAGTCGGTAAGGTAACAATCTTTTAAATTGAGGGAATGCTAACTGGGGAAATATTTTGAACTAGTCTAGCAATTTTCAGCAGTACACATCTATGATTTTATTTGGTTCGTGATTTCTCCAGGACCTTCACGTTATGTGGTGAACCCGTTAATGATTCACTGATACTGTAATACGGTATCACCATTATTTTGACTATAATTTGTTGCTCATAATCATTTCAGGGTGCTCACATATCTTTCAGATTTTGTCTACATGCATCCGTCACTTTTTATCTTTACGTTTTGTGGAACATCCTGGTTGAAGATAGTTCTATATCTTGAATTTACAAGTTAGAATTCACGAGTTATTAGATACCCCAACCACACACACACACACGCCAAATGTGTGAGTGTTCAATGAGCGTGGTATCGTAGCCTATAGGTCTCAGATTAGATCCCTAGTAGGAGCGTGGGTACGCATCTTTGAAAAGTCCCAAAATAAGACGAATCAGATATCCAGTGTTCACTTGTTTTTAATGAACTGCGTAACTGGGGTTGGTTCTTGACGAAATCTAACAGTTGGAATTAATTAAATGTTAGATTAGACCGTAACTTACCACTAAACACTTGTTAGTTGGCGGAAACATTTTTGTGTGAGACATCTCCTTGTGTTCATAATGTAACAAGTTTGGGTTTGAAATAAACTAATAAATTAAAGCCTGGATGCACACTGTAGTTGATAAGTTTAAATCCAGTGTTTATCTATGGAAAAATGATTTCTTGAAGCAGTTCAATCTTCTGACAAATTATCTCAATACTTTGAAAAGTTTTTCTTGTTTTTCGTAATGTGGTTGTACGGTGTGACTATTTTGTACCTGTGATGTCTTATATCGCGTTTCATTTATGTTTTTGAATAAATAAATAATACTGATATGTTCTCCTTTTTGCTTTTCAAATATATTTGCATTCATACAGTGGACCTGATCAAGAACACAGAGATTTTGTCTGTGTTGAACTATTCGATGGGAATGTCTACTTTGTTTACGCTGTCGGTGGTCACTATAAGCATATTCAGTTGAATCCACCAAATACTGTTGTCAATGATGGTGGTATTTACAGTGTTTATGTTTCACGTAATGCACAGCATCGGTTCACAGTAAGTTGAAAAACAATTTATATTATTCGCCTAGGTTCCAAATGGAACGTAGAGCTAAACATAGCATATCACCATTTTATCTTATTTTCTGCATTCCTTTCTACCTGGTCTCATGACTGTCCATAAGCTATCATCACCTCCTCCTCGTCACACCATCTTCTTCATGTCATCCATGGTTCCATGCCCATTCGGGTTCCTTTCCTCCGTTTTCCTGGAGCGTGGATATTACTTAACACTTCACACCTTTGTCTAAATTTTCTCATGAGATATAGTTTCTTAAAACTCACATGTATGTATATACACGATTATACAGCTTGATTATAAATTCGTTGAAAAATGTTTGTTTTCTGAATACATTATAATGACACATTCGATTAGTTTCAGACTATGTTGTTCGGGATAAAATTTCTTTTATATATAGAATGTTTAACACTAATTAATAAAATGAAATACCTGATAACACTGTAGTTGAGTGTTAGTCGTTTCAGTTACATTCAGTTAGTGTAAATGCACAGTCAAATTTAGCTGAATGAGAACTTTATGACTTGTAATGGCAATTAATATTCATGCATTCCTAATATTAATGTAAAACTGAAGAATCCAGTAATGAAATCGAAATGGTTAGACTACTGAACGATCACATATTAGATATTTCACACACCTGCTTCCTTTCAACAAAGAAAATAAAAACAGCTTGTGTTTTTCGTTTCATGGCTTCTCTTCTTCGGCTTTTAACCAGTCCCAAAATCACATAAGTTATTATAAATGTAAGTGTGAATATATTTAACTCAAAAGGCATCTAATAATTCTTAATACATTCAAGGATGAGTAGACATGAATGCATGATACTTAATATTGAAAAAATAATCGAACAACCAGTGTTTCTTTATGCATAATACGATAGGAAGTTGGAAAGCTTAGAGGAGAGCGAGGGAGGATTTGAAAAATTCGGGTAATTAGGTATAAAGTCATTACGTAAACCAATAAATAAGAGATTTTCCAGTGTTAACAGGTAGAAGTTTGATTGGTTTCATGTTTGATCACTGCTTGATATCAGTTAGAGGAGCACTGAAAACTAGCGAGGAGTACTGGAAGGCCTTTTCGTTCTTGTTCGTAACTCCTCTACAGTGTGCGCTTATAACCACGCTCAACAAGGATCAAAGACGGTGTCTTTGCATTACAAAGTGCTCTCATTGGCCCTTCAGCCACTGGGACGAAAACCAATTCTTCATCAATCGTAACTTCCATCAATTCGCAATTTTTAACAAAACTAATCAAATTTTTACGAGCTAATACTTGAAAATCAGTCTGATTCTCACTAGCAGTTGACTACAGGAGGAACTCTTCTGAAACTCTAGTGAGAAGTAATGACCAGTTGGGTCCATAGAGCGAGGTGTTGGAAAAATACTTGTCAATAAAATTAGGTGGAGCTGGGGCTCAAGACTGCCAAGTGATAGCAGTTAGATATCACAGACTGATCATGGCATTCTGTTCTAGTGTCTGAATGGTTTATCAGCTTGTCTCGTAAACTGAAGGTCCTGAGTTCGGTCCCTTATGGTGGGGTGATGGTGAAGAGTCCGAAAGAAGTACGAAACAGCCGTTTATTACTACTTGGTCTCCAACTGTTCTCTAACTGAAGTCAAATGATGGTCTAATATGAAGACAAATTATGCTGTCACACACCATCAACCAAAAGACTTTATAATTATAATGCTACATTGAAATGAGTCGTTTTCATTAGACAAAGGAACTTGGAACAGATGCATTTCAGACTGACAACTGATGAGTTTCAATTTGAAAAAAGCACTAGACTAGTTACCGTTTTCCCTGATATCCTACAACTCATTTGGATCTTATCTGCATCAGTCAGCACTGTGGGATTCGTGATTAATTTTGAAATCAGAATATGCTACTTCTTTTCTCTCTGTCTCTGTCGTAATGCTTTATTATCAGTAGTCATTATATCGGCTGTGCGTCGGTGGCACAGCAGTTGGGATGCTCACCGACAATGCACATGGTCTGGGGTTCGACCCACGGCCAACGTACTCCTTTACCTCGCTAAGCCAGAGAAAATGCTGGTAAAAAGGAAAGGTTTGGCATGAGGCTAGCAACCCCATCCTGTAAAAAATAAACACTGCTACACAAACTTCAAGCCACTATCTTGAAGCCCTATGTTCCACTGGGAACGTGAAGGAAAAAAATAAATAATAATTATATCAGCTGAACAATTTTAAAGTTATTTGAGGATTATGGATACTGACTGTCAGTTAATTCGATGGATGCAGTTTGAAACCTGATGTGAGTAGTCATCAATGCGGATACATCACTAACTCACTAAAGTTTATGAAAATAACCTAATCATTAAAGGTACCTTTGAGACTGTATAGTTTTACATCTTTCCAAACTGCATCGAGGATATCTGCTAACAGCTTGGTGATATAGTGAGACATTGAGTTGACTATGCCTATAATGAGTCAAAGCATGTATTTTATGCAACCCAGTCTTAAAACTCTTTGGCAGTTGTCTACCTGACATTATGAATATTTAACTAAACTACTCACTGGTTTTTCCTTCTTTATTTTATTCCAACAATCTGTAGGTGAAATTTAATAATCAGTTGGTTGATGTTGAAGAGGGAAGTGAAGCTCATCAAGCTGCATTCGCCACATATACTTACATTGGAAGCATTGATAATGTGGGTCGATTGCCCTGGCATGTATGGTCACGTGAAAATTTCGCCGGCTGTATTCATTCTATTTTAGTTAATGAAAACAGTTATTTGGATGTTTCATCGTAAGTTTATCATTTATTGAATATTTGGAAGCTTTCCAAGTTTTTTCTAGTGACTGTATTTATGATTCTGCGTCGCTGGTCCAATGTTAAAATACTCACCAATTATGAACCTTGTCAGACGTACCACTGAACTTCACTTAGTCGATAGTAAGTTCGGAAAAGGGTGAAGGTTGGGAATGAAACTGTCAACTCCACACCGTAAAAGCAACACCATAGTAAGAGAAACTTCAAAACTCAAGCTTGAAGCTCTATGTTCCATTTGGGACTCAAAGAAATGAATGGTAATTGGTATTTATGATCCACCTGACAAGCTGATACCATCTCATGAACCAATGAAAACTAGCGAATAACGAGGCAGTTTCTTCGTTTTAGTTTAGAGCAAGATCACGTAAAAGTTCAAGCTTCGGTGAAATCATGACGATTTTATTTCCAAATTAGTCATATTTTCATAGATCAAACAGCTTACTAACTAACACCCGAAGCTATTCTTTGACTAAAAGTACAGCTATGATGCTTTATGATGATTAAGCATTGGAAGTTAACTGTCATCTTTGTTTCTATTTGTGGTTCTAACTTATGTCCAACAAAATGATTTCCTGACACCATCATATTTCATTAGATCTTATCAACTGCGTACCAATTTACAAGTCAGTGTAAAAACACATAAATTGTACGAAGAGAAAGAAGTACTTGTTTCCGTATATCGAAGCATATTCTGAAGAACTTTCGAATCAAATGGTGAGAAAGTCTTCTTCACGTAGTAGATAGGCGGTTAAGAAATCGACCTTCGAAAATCTTTTAAGGTAACGAAAGTATGAATAAATAACTTCATTCCACGCTTTAGCCTCAGAGCATTTCGTTAGCCATGACTGACAGATAATGCTGTAGATTTACCGATGTAAATTCTAATGCAACTCATTTTTGTCCATTACATTCATGGGTGTATTTTGTTCCATTCTATATATTGCATGACTCTTGTGTTTGTCCACCGCTGTCAAGGAATTTTATGGAGCGCTGCAATTATTTTCGGTATTTCTTTATTTACTCAAAACTTACTGTACTGTCTTTCTATTCCTTACTTAGTCGAATGATTCAGCATACAGATATTGGTCGTGGAATTCGATTAGGACAGTGTGAAGTACCTAAACAACGTTGTAACGATAGAATTTGTGGCGGCGGTCGATGTTCTAGGCGTTCATATCCATTCTTGGAAGAGTTGAATTTTGCTTGTGACTGTAGTGAATCTGATAAGACATTTCCAGAGAAAACAATGGATATTCGTCGATCTGTTGGATGCCATCGAGGTAATTAATACAAGTCATGCTGTTTATATATATATATATATATATATATATATATATATATATATATTGATTAAGATCTTAGTGACAAAACCGAGCACACGAGTCTGGCTATTGCTGGCACTCATCATTATTAATATAAGTAGATTTCTGAGAGTGAAGTGATGAAAGAAGTTACGACTGAGGCAGAGAGAAGGAATTCAGTCACTTCTCATATCTCCTGAAGAGCATTAGGTGTCTGTTAAGTCAAAAACAACAATAGCAGCTGATTGTCAACTACTTTTTGTATACCCCTGTCCCCATCACCATAAGCTTAAAAGAAAATCCAGAGGAAACGAACTTTTATTCTAAGTATATTTTCAGTGAGTGCTCATGCAGAAGGATACGTTTTTGATTTTGATAATATTCTGAGTAAAATTAATGACACATGGGGTTCTACTGAATAATTTCAACTAAAAATCTTTCACTGTTATTCTTCCAAACGAAGTTAGCGCTGATGATGTTGTCTAAAAGGACAAGCAAAGCTTCACAATTAAAAATCATCTAACTGTCAAAGATCGGAGCAAAGCGCCTAATACATCTAAGTAAGCCATCTTCAAAATAAAAGCCAAATGATAATCATAAGAAATTTCAGTATGTGCGTGAATCACTTACCAAAATGCTAATTATTGTCGTGTTCATTTCTGTTGGTCCTTTGACCATTCGTGGTCATTTAACTTACTGACATGAATGTAATGTGGTATGCTTGTTACTCGAGTCTTCAATTCTGTCAGCGTTACAAACATTTCATGAGCACAAAACATAAGTCTAGGTGAGCAATACCATGCTGACTGACCTCTTTAAAGATCTGATCACATCAGTTTGGTTTGTATAATTATAATTCAATCTATCTTACTTTCATGGAATTATGCAAGTTTCATTAGTGCGAATTACTATTGAGAAGATTCTCTTATGTCATCTAGGTCAAAGTAAAAGAATCTTTTAAACAGATATAAGTTCATTGTCAACTGAATGCCATAAGACTGAACAGCTGATTACTCTGCATTAACTTACAGTGGGTTGTGGTTGGAGATCTTGTTATCGAGGTTGACTTGGCTATCTCAAAATAAGGCGTATGTAGATAGTACACATAGAGGCCGCGTGGTAGCTTGTGACCTTGTGAGTTAAAATAGACTGTTTGTATCGATCGACCGCATCTCTACTCGCGTAGAAAAACTATCTTTTTATGAAAAATTTGTCAAGTCTCAGTCTATAACTTATCGAAATAGTAACTACAGATAAACTTGACTTGCGTGTCGGTCAGCGCGTATGATGGATTAACACCACTCACACAAGTACTGAGGATTCATGAGCATTCAAAAAGTTGTTCTTCCTTTGTGTGTGTTACCTAAACTGTCAACTGATAGCTTACAGACTTTACAATAAACACCATACTACTTAATTGCTGATTCAATATCTAAGGGACTTTGGAACTTCAGATTGCAGTTAACTGAATATTCACCCTGTTCATTATTCATTGCTGTCATTAGGCATATATTAGCCAGCCCTTTGTCTTCTCATCAGGACACTTGATGGAAACCATCTTGAAGCTAGCGACTAATGGAGATTGAACTACATTATGACAAAAAGATTCTAGAAGATCTGAACTTGGCGGATGATTTATTTCCTGTGTCTCACAAGCAAAAATCAACAAGTTTGCAGCAAAAATAGTGAAGACAGGACTCCAAGTGAACGTAGAGAGGATGTAAGTGATAAATTCAATTAAAACAAGTATTAGTCACCATGAATGAGAGAAATCTAAAGAAAGTCTATTTATTCCCTTACCTTGACAACACTCTTTCAACTACAGAAGGCAAGAATGAAAGTGTAAGGAAGCAGCTGTCAGGAAAGCAAGATTGTTTTTCATCACTCTGATGTCAGTGAGGAGATCTGTAACACTTTACACATGGGAATAGGATCTGAATTGTTAACATTAATATTAAGTCGGTTGTTCTTTATGGTTTGGAGACTTGGCTAACACGTCACCAAAAACATTCCCTTCAGTTGATGGTATTGAAAATCCTATAGTCACTCGGAAAGAATCAACTAGCAACAAACGAGTTTGACAGGTAGCAAACTAGTCAACAGCTTATTGTCTAATAAATATGCAGAAGGAAGTGAAGATGGATCGACATTAGCTGAGCAGATATTCCAGTGACATCACACACCATGTCGTGGATCCTGAATGGTTAAAAACGAGTTCGGCATGAGCTCAAGGGTGATATGGAGATCATGTGAGATAGAAACGAAAAATTCTGGGCTGTAGTGGAACCAGCTAAAAATGACCAGAAAGAAGCTCTGTGTTTCAATCGAAACTGAAGGGATATATAATAATTATAATACTTGAACAAAGCAAGTAGGACATATGGACCAGGATAATACAAGCTTATCTTTCATTATTTCAAGGATGAGTTCATGTCATCTTGATACATTTGTCATCCTTGCTTTGTTGAAGTTTATTAATGGGAAGAATTGTATAAAGTTTTTAAATAAGTAAAATAATAAATTCAGACGGGCTGATTATTACACAATTCAGAATCTATTTAATTTTTTATACTAATCAAGTCAAATCTTATTTCTCACTTTTGTGTTGTATTTTTATTTAATTAGATGCTCCAGTTCTTGAAATGGATGGTGATATGGTCTATGTGATCGATTTTGAGCAACAGATCAATAAACTGATAACGCACACAGATGATATTAGTTTACAGTTTAAAACTGATGCACCCTTAACAGGACAATCACGTTATCTACCATTGTTTTATTCAGTTTCACGTGCAGACAAATCATATTTTCGTGTTGATTTAGTCGATGGACAAATACGTGTTCAAACGAATATTAATCATAAAGGCAAACCTCATGCATATGAAGTAAGCAGTGGTAGGCTATGGAAAAGAATGATTGGTTTGAATCGACACTTCAAGAGTAATATATTGACGATTGAAGTTTGAAGTGATGTTAAGCAGTGGCTAAACAGTATAATCACCTGATCAGGTGTGTTGTCAGCAGGCTAGAATGTACCTATCAGAGGTCATGTAAGTCTCCTCCCGAGGTGTAGGCATTACAGTAGGCCATATAAGCATTCTCTGACTGGTATATTCCAGTCGATTGACATTCCAGCCAATGAACTGACTATAGTCTTTATGTTAAAGATACTATAACATCCAGTAAGTCCTAGCATGTGTAGTATTGCGACTTCACTACTCAGTGCTTTTTCTTCTGTTTTCTTTATTCAGTGAAATACGCTGTTTTTTATTGGTGAAACCATCTTAGATAGTATTAGTTTGCTGGATTTGTAATAGCCTGATTAAAAGCAATCATTAAAGCTATAAGAAAATCAGTTCAAGTAGTGATAGATCACCTAGGGGAATCCTGGCCCAAAATGAGTTTTTTCTTAGGTCAGTAAAGGGGATATTCTGTGATACTTTCTTAATTGAGACAGTTTTAACAGTAAAGTGAAATTCCTGGCTAACTTTTATTTAAATAGTCATAAAAAGACTAAATGTTAATAGAATGTGTTTCAACATTACTTTAACTATATTCATCGATATTTTCCGCTGAATATTCTCATTCTTGATAGAAGTCGCAGTCTGCAAAACATTAGGTAAGAAGTTAGATCTCTGAAACAAATGATCTACCATAGTCAGCAGGGAGGATAGAATACGCTTTAAATAATCATCTCAACTTACATATTTCCTGAAGAATGGCTTTGGTGTGTGATTATGAATGTATACATCACTAGGCTATGTGATTTCATCGGGATTTGCTGTATAAATTGGTGAAGTTTGTCTAAGCTATTTGATGAACATTCATGTCTGATACTTGTCAGTCTTTCATACCATGTGTTAGTATTTTTGACCTCGATCTGCCGAATTAATGAAAAAGGCAATAACTCTTGATATTGTTTTCTCTAACTCGTGAGGAGCATACACGCTTTACTTCCTTGTGAAGTCGATACTTGAATTTCGACTGAAAGATTTGCGTATGAGACTTCAAGGTGGTATGGTGAAAAAATATCATAAAATTATTTCCCTTGATAAACTTGAACAAGTCAACAAGAAAATACTGTGCAAGATAATATGTGTTGTCATTATATTTCATTGACTCTTCTCAGCTGCACATAACTATGATCAATTTAATATCAATATTACGAAATATTCAAATACTGTAGTTATTGATCATAAAGTTGATGAACATTATTATCAGGTGATTAGGTAGCATAATGGAAAGGAATAAAGGTCGTTGTTAAGCTCTTTAATATGCATACAAATAATTGATAAATATTTTGGAATTACGAATGAGTGTTACAAATTTAGAAGAGGTGTCAAATCAACAATGCACTTAAGTAAGGATCAAGTATCTTAATTGAATAGAGGTAAAATAGGAGTCCGGTTAATAATAGCTAGATAAAGATAAAATTAGGGCAGGAAACTGCACAATAATAATATAATTAAAACAACATAATTACCGCACGCAAAGTATATTCACCAGGGTAAAGAAAGAATAAAAATGGTTTCCTTTTGGTTCTGATTATTTAATGGTAATCGGTTCGGAGATACATAGCAGTTTGGAGCTTTCTTGAACTTTAATTATTTTAGAGGATTTATTGCATCGATTTCGTGGCCACAGTTCAACAGGTGGTGAGCGGTCGTACTACTAGGCACTTTTGCGACTTTCGGAAATAAGCTCAGATAGGCGGTCATAAATCCTTCTGTCTGTTCGTGTGATGTATGTACTTTTGCAAACGCAATGTAAAATGGTATATGCAGCAGGAAAAGCAATCAGAATGTATACACATACGTACATAATAAAGTGATTATTATTATTATTATTATTTATTTTCAGTTTTAACTTAATACATTACTTCTCTGCTTAATTACTTTGTCTCCTTATTCAAGGAATTCTTTCTCCCAAGTGCAATGCTCAACAATAATCAGTGGCATACTTTGCATATTGCCCGTCGTGCCGACCATATAGTTATATCTGTTGACAGAGCCTCGGTAACTGGTAAGTTCAGTTCAACAGTAAGGGATTCTTATTGTTATATATGTGTGTGTGTGTGTGTGGATTTTTTTGTTTACTGAACGCCATGAGTAATCAGGGAATTTTGTTTATGAAATAATGGAGATTTATGGCTCAGGCAAATCACTTTTGATGTCGTTGTGTTCTCTGAGATGGATGGTTTAGTTGGGAACAATGGAAATGCCAAAATTTGTCAGGGAATTCATCAAAGCCTGGTACTCAGATGAATCTTCAATCAAAAGACACACTGTTATTTTTATTCTCTCGGGTTCCGCCTGTAGTTGAAACAATGATCACTAGATATGTGGAGGTGTTGGCTTCCTTCAAGTTCCTTCCGTTTGTGGCGATTGATGCTTGCTGTTTTTGCTTGGGATTCTTCATCATCTCTGTCTTCTCCATATTCACTGTAAGTTCTTTCTTCGCTACTTCTTCTCCCAGCTTGCTGGTTTTCGCTTGTAAGTCTTCCAGTTAGTGTGGCACTAGATATAAGTCATCTGCAAAATATAGAAATTCTAGAGTCTTCCTATCAACTCCACATTTCTTATCTCCTCTCAATCCACAGTTTGCCGCTTGATCCAGTTAACTACAATCAGGAACATTATCGTTGATAATTGGCATTCTTGTCTTACTCCTATTTTCTCTTCAAAGGCTTCGCTGATTTTTTTGTCTTGAATTACTTTCATATAACTGCCGAATTACAACAACGAACGGAGGAGTTGAGTTCAGTGTACAATGCACCTGGTACAGAAATGAAGAAGTTTTGGGAAAAACAAAAGATACTTCTACGACACACTGGTGACTAAGGTAAAGCAGGCCACGGGTAAAGAAAACTTCACAGCGTCATCTCAGATAACCAGATCGCTATCCAGCAAGGGATTACTTCAGATGAAACCAATGAAAGATAGTCAGGGAACCTAATTATTAATGACAAGAAGCTAAGGAAACAATAAGCTAGTCCCTTCAAATGACTCTTGAACCGACCATTACCTGTAACTTGTTCAGGAATACCTTCACCAGCTATAAAACTGGCGTTAACCACAATCGTCCCACAAAATCAGTAGTCTTAAATGTCATAATACAAATGAAAGTAAACCTGGGAGGCAATAGGACGGAACGAAATTCCTTCAGAAGCAATGGAGATGGATCCCAAGACCTCAGCAGTATATGCTCACGCCACTATTTCAGAAAGTTTAGAAGGAAGCAAAAGTACCTGCCGACTGACTGGAAGAAAGGCTCCCTTGTTAAACTACCAAGAAAGGGTGACTGAATCCTTTGTATAAACAGCACGGAATAACGCTCTCGCCCATGCCATGCAAATTATTAAGTCACATTATCCTGAAGAGACTGAAAGATGCAATAGATACGAAACCTTCCAGAACAAGATGATTTCCAGAAAAGCAAATCATGGGCAGATTGAATTACAACACTGAGCATTATCATCGAAGACAGCATAGAATGACAGTCAAATCTCTCCCTCAACTTCATCGATTTCTAAAAGGCCTGCAATATTGTTGACCACTAAATAATTTGAAAACTGCTTCAACACCACAGAATGCCCGAAACCTTTATCAACATACACATTAACATGTCTCAACTTTATTAACTACCAAAGAATTAGTCAAACAACAAAAACATAGTCGAACTCCAGGTCAATAAAACGAAGGATGCCAAAATACCAGTTAACAATTGACTGTGACTAGTGTCACCAAAAGAGACAATTATATCAGTCATAGAGAATTCAAATAATTCCACTTCATACTGAAGTCTGCACTGAAGATAGTATTGTCTTGAAAGACAATGAAAGCTTCTCATCGCCTGTTGCATTTTAATGTCAGAATAATATTCACTAGGCATCTATGGAATTAGAATTAATTGTTATTCCTTTAGGTAGACTATCTTGTAATGACACTCACTAATCTTGATAATGATTAGTCATAACAGTAAACTGCTTTTATACGCAAGAATGGCTATCGCATCCCTAGGTGGACTTTTGAATAGAATCATTAAAAACTGTTATATCAATCGTATAATTCATATGAATAATATGCTTTACTGTATGTATTAGAATAGGGTTGTATATACACGTCTATATAAAGGGTAATTCCTGTTTACCTTGATCAATATTTTTACAGGTACTCTATTCATTGAAACTCCTTTACGAGGTAGGGAGATAGGGGAAAAAATAACTTTAATTGTCTGTTATTCACCTATGGTGTACATGTAATTTGAACACTTTTGTAGATTTTACTTTTTTGGGTAGATGGAAGTGTTGTCATTCAGGAAGATGTTGATTTGACAAGATGTGGTGGTAGAGTTTGCCATCACACACTTACTACCATGTCACAGTTTTTTTACTTATGACTACACTATTATTACCACTACTACTAATAATATTATTAATAATATTAAGTACTATTGTCACTACTAACAGCAAATGTATAGATGCTCACTGATACCTACTCAAAGTAGGGGGTGTTTTATTTTAACCATTGTGAATGTTTTATTATTCAGATAAATCATTTTTAACATAGTAGTACTGCAGTTAATTTAGTCATTTCTTCATACACTTCGTTTTACGAATTTCAATAAAACCAAAACAACGATTTGTGCAAAATAAGATGCTACCATCGTCTATTTCGTCGGCTTTTCATCATCTGCTTACAGATCAAAGAAATTACCAAGTTTATGTACAAAACAGTTTTAACATATCTGTAAATTTTCAATGATATCAGTTAGTGACAGGGGACTTCAAACTTCATAAACGGTGTCCAGAAGTTCCACTTATAAGGCTTATATCCATATGGTTCAAGTCTGAACGAAAAAAATGCTCCAGTACAGTGTCGAAGGAGTTGTGTAATAAAGATGAAAGGTGTATGATATGGTGAGTAACTAATAATTTGAGTGACAATGTGGTGAGTTTGCCTCAAATCACAGATAAAATGAAATTATACTGAAGGAGAAGAAGATTGAGTTGAAGATTACATAACCAAATAAAGGAGACAGTAAATGTATGCAGTCATCAGGACAGGGAAAGGCAATGGCACTACTGAACAAACTCATTCGGCAGTGCCACAGCCAGGTACTTCATCGTTACGCGTCATAAAGTGGACACCATGATATCCTTTAAAATTAATGACAGACGAAATAGTTCAGTTCGCCTGAAGTCTGCCGAAGCAACTGCTATCACACGACTAATAGTCGATTTATGTGTTCAGTTGGTTAACTATCTTTGACTTTGACCTCTTCTCCTTCAGTATAATTTCATTTTATCTGTGATTTGAGGCAAACTCACCACATTGTCACTCAAATTATTAGTTACTCATCATATCATACACCTTTCATCTTTATTACACAACTCCTTCGACACTGTACTGGAGCATTTTTTCGTTCAGACTTGAACCATATGGATATAAGCCTTATAAGTGGAACTTCTGGACACCGTTTATGAAGTTTGAAGTCCCCTGTCACTAACTGATATCATTGAAAATTTACAGATATGTTAAAACTGTTTTGTACATAAACTTGGTAATTTCTTTGATCTGTAAGCAGATGATGAAAAGCCGACGAAATAGACGATGGTAGCATCTTTTTCTGCAGAAATCTTTGTTTTTACTCTATTCATATTCAGTCATTGTACAGTGATGATTAAAAAATAGCAGTTAAACGACAATCATATCATAGTCATCATTTCATTTGGAGTTTCATTCTTTTTTGATATATGACAGCCTTTGCTGTCTGTGTATTCATTATGTCAGTGATACTCACAAGCCTGACTACAACTGTTTATCATTATTGTCTAACCATTTTGGTCACTATTAGTGGCGAAAAGGATATTCAATCATCATAACAGAAATTAAATAGAATGGCGGAAGATTCACATCTCGTCATGCAGTATATACGTATAATCATTATTTTAAAAGCTAATGGGTGCAATTCATTCCAGTATTATTATTTTTATTATATTGGATATGTATAGTATTCTATTTAAGCGGAGTAGACACTCGCATTTATTAACCTTTTTCTTCATTCTTGAAATCTTTTTCTGTAACCAACATTCAAAATTTTTTTCCAGAACGATTCAATATCTGTGAGCAGAAACAGTAGTAGTTTCATTACTAAGCTAGACGATTTAGCACTACCTCGCTGAAAGCTGTTAGCAATCTAACCCTAGTTTGTGTTATACTTTTTAACGCTCAACTCTGTGTGTGTATATGCGTGTGTTTACAAAATAATATGCTAATCAGTTTTACACAAAGGATATTTTTTCACATTTTGGACTAAACGATAAAAATGGGTGTTGAGTAGGTTGGTGCGTGTGTGGGTTTGCACATCTGAATACATCTGGTGATCAAAAGGAATTCATTTTTGTCATGGAAACTTGAGGAATGACTTCACTTTTTTAAATCTTGAATTGTCTGATCGATTAAATTTTCAAGTTTTGGCTTACAGGCATTTGATTGGTTACAGGTTTGATCGTGAGCTGACATCAGTTAGAGGACCACTGGAAAACCAGTAAGTACTGGATAGTTGTTTCGGCTAACTTCGCAGCTCTTCATCAGCACGCGCTCTCCGTGGTTCAAACCCAGAGAGGTCATTGACCGTTCAGCCGCTGGAACCGAATATAGTGCCCATGAATTCCAACTTCTAACTATTCGTGTTGTGCACAATGCAACCACTAGTCAATGTCATAAATGAATAACTGTCCTCTTACCTGACCTGATTGACACTTCTCACCAGAACTTAAGGTGATTTTCCGTATGCAGCGAGTCGCTAGTATGCGTCCAATTGGTTTAAAAGTGTTGGTTTGCAGGTGTTTTGTTGGTTATAGATTTGATAGATGTCAGCTACAGAAACATTGAAAAATCAAGGAGTACTGGACAGCTGTTTCGTCCTCTTCTGGTGCCCTCCATCAGTACTACACATAAACAGGTGGGCAATTTTCAGACATGGATCGAACTTTCACATCGACACTCTGAGAGTATGGTTATTAATTACCATGCATTTAATTCTTCACAAAACAAAAATTTGATTTGGAAGTCTGTATGTACAATACTAGTAGATTATTTTGGGTTCAAGTATTTTTTTGAAATTTTTGGTGATACTAGGTGAGAAACTCATTCATAAAATATACATATTGTGTGTTTACATACTCTAACGAAAGTGATTACAATAGTCTTTTCAGCTAATTAGAAGTGTATCAGACTAACATAGTTTGTTAATTTCAGTCAGTTCCACTTATTATTGTTAATGACAAATATGTCTGTACTTATTTTTATTTACTGTATCTGTCTGAGGATTGGATTAATTTTAAGCTAGATTTTGTTAGAAAACGAATCTGGCAGTAATGAGAGACTTCTCGTGATTTGGAACTTTCCAGTGACTCCAACAAGGATTGCAAATTGAACCTTCACTTTACGAGGTGCGAAAGTTTATTATTCAGCCATTGAATCATGATCCAGAAACCTCATCCTGGGTTCTGTCTCTGTTGAGGTTGGTTGTGAGGTTCGATGAATAGACTGAGAGGAAAAAGAAACCAATCTGAAGTGTTAATACTACAGAGGGACAAGTCGGATCACTGGATTTATGCTCATCACCTAAGGACCATTCAGTACTAATCCTTTTTCTTTTTACATTCCTTGAGTTGCGAGTGGAACAATCGGCTTCGAGTTTTGGCAGTTTCAGTTGCTGTGGTGTAGTTTTTACAGCGTGAGGTTGTTAGCCTAATGGCTTATCATCAGTTAGTACACTAAGCAAGGTGTATGAGTGCTTCGTCCGAGAATCGAACCCCAACCATCTGCGTTGTTAGCGAGACTTCTCCTACGCACACTTATCCTCGGTAAATTGACATAATTACACTGACAGAGAAATGAATGCATATAAACCAGCAGAGTAATGTAAGAAATGGTAAAAAGTTGTTCAACTTCATGCTACTGTTAAATATTACTGACAGCGATATAAGTAGTTAGAAAAGACAACTCATGTCAATCTGAACATCATCAGATGATCACTTCGATTTTTTCAAACTGAATTTATCAGTCGTCTATTCCAATCAAACCAACTCACAGTATAATCAGAATTCAAAAATCCACTCTAAATTCTGACTAAATAACTACTTAGTGGAACTGATGTAACAAATAGAATGTGATTAGTTACATCTCTACATTTTATTTACCATCAATACAAGTTCAATCTGTCTAATGAGGAATTTCAGTCAACAAGAGTGTTTAACTTCTTCACACATACATCATCCTTCTTCCTGCCTAACGCTACGTACGTACTACCAATTGAGTGAGATGACCATCTGTCTATCAATCATCACTTGCTATCCAGTCAGATCAAGATGATCTAAAGACCGGATGGCCGTTTCTCTCGTTTCTGACTGAACTCTTCAAAGGTGTATGCTGTTTGATTCAGCTCAAGGAGCCGAATCAGTTCAAATCACCCGAAATCCAATTAGTTACTTGGGCTAACCGGTAACACTATAAGTGAAATTCACAATTCGCACATTACACAGTTCGAGGAGGTGAGATCTTGCCACCAAGCACTACTGGTTCATGTGATTGACATACAACTACACATACCAATCAATGACTACTATACAGTTTTGAGCATTTTTGCTTGTAGTATTGAGCATATTGTGGCGGTGTGAATAATTCCGATTTCCCAAGGAAACTGTGGTGGAATTTCTTCAAGTTGTGTAGATTGAGAATTAATTTGCAAACTGAGAATACAATTCATTCAGCCTTTCTATTGATTACTTATCAGTTTGATTTCTTTCTGGTTTAGAGAAATGTAAACACACACACACACGTTAATTATATTTCTTGCCTAACTGTAATAATTGGATGATTTCAGGGTGTTTGTTGATAATTTGACACAATGAAATCGATAATGTGTGTGTGTTCGAGTTTCATTTATCATTTTTGAAGAGTAGTTTTCATCGCTGTAGATTTATGCGATTATGCTATCATCACACACACAAACACAGTGTTCAATTTGTTTGGTTTATTTTGCACCAAAAAATAACTTTTCTACAATTTTTTGGTTAATTTCTTGAACTAAACCTTATCTCATTAACTTGTATTTGAGTGAAGTGTAAGAACAAATTACTCCCTTATTTTCTTTTTAATTCCCCAATGTGTTTATTTAACTGATGTTATATACATTTTTGTTTTTGCTCCATATTGTGTGCAGTATTCATCATTCGGTTGAGGTCAATTTCGTTTTCTCTGTTGCTTGGTTAACTGTACTAAAATGTTCGACTTCTGCTGACACGTCAACTCCTAGTACAGACGCTTTGACGATGTCTGAAACGATGCATGCTGGGTTCAAGTTTCAGTGAGAACACTATCATAACTCAGTGGGGACTGCAGTTATATCCAGATGACGAGACCTAGACAGGAATATTCTTTTCGTTGTTAGATGGTTGGAGGCGATCGTCAGGAAGCTTTGGAATTAGATTTCGTGCCTGTTGGGAGCAGGGCATATGTGTCCCTTCTGAGATTCAAAGCCTCATTACTCAGTGCTGCAGTCAGAGACGTTACCACTCAGTTATTTGGGTTGGCGATCGTTCTCCTGTAAGACTGTAACGAATACTTTGATTGGATGACAGGAAGTAACTAATGTTATGCATCTAGTCCTTCGTTTGGTGGAGACTGAATTCTGTTTGTCAAGTTTGTAATCTGGCTACCGTGCTAGGTGGCTCACCATCACGGTGCATTCTAAATTGTTGTTCGGTCATAGTGCTAGACCATTCACTCGTGGAATTCTGAAGTCATGAGTTACTGAGTTCCATCATACCCACTGGTTGAACGATAAGTGTGCTTATCTTGTCGTGGGACTGTGCAAGCAAATTGCTGAAGAGTGCCATATTAGATCGCAAAAGCTGTGCAGCGCTCCCCGGTTTCCAAATAAATTCAAGCCAGTCTACTAAGGAAAAACCACTCCAGTGTGTTGCCATGTAAAATACACAGAATAACCGGAATTGATAGCTGCTACAAATTGGGTCACTAGTTATCTAAACAACTGTCATCCATGTAACTCAAAATTTCTGTTCAGTCTCATCAGAAATAAATGTACAACATATGATTGTATACTACCCCGCAGTTTCTATAATAGTTTGGTAACTCGAAACTTCATCATGGGATTATTAGACCATATGATTGATCAGCAGACTTAAATCTTACCACAAGTTTACTGGCATATTCAATCATATGCTCATTAGAGTTTAAAGGTAACTGAATCTGTAATGAAGCGATTTAGTTAAATAACAGTTTCAGCAGTTGGTTTACAGGGATATGATTGGTTTCAGTTCAGATCACTGGCTGATACCAGATAGAGAACCATTAAAAATCGGGAAGTACTGGAAACCTATTTCGTCCCCAGTCGGGCTTTTCAACAGTACGCACCCACCACTTCTCCAAGGAACCGACTCAGGACCTTCAGATTACGAGGTCTAGCTAGTCATCGATTCATCCACTGGGACGGAATCCAACAGTCCATGAATTGTATTTTCAGTGGTTCTCCCACTGATATGAATCTGTGATCAAACTTGAAACCGATCTAATCCCTACTAACTAACACTTCAAAATTGACGTGATGCACACTAGTGACCGGTTACAGAGTGAAGTTGCCTGGATTTCTGCTGAGGGGTCACGACCAGTGAGGTCTACCAGGTTAGTCGGGTGTGAGAACAAATACTCACCGATGGCACTGGCTGGTAGTGGTGTTGGAAAATTCGCTAACTGACAGAAGTTAGAATTGATGACCCGCTGAATTCTGCTCTGCTGGCTGAATGATCAAGACCCCCGCCTCATCCCTGGTGGGGCTAATGGTACTGAAGAATCCGAAACTAGAATGAAACATTTGTCCAGTGCTCCCTGTTCGTTTTCATTCGTTCTCTAAATGATATCAATGTGTGATCAATAGGTTATTTTTGCACAACACTTTAACTACTAGAAGGCGTGTAAGTAGAAAATGTATGTACATGAAAGAAAACTATTTGATCAAGAGGTTATTTTGACCAACTCAAGAAGCGTGGTGCAATTCGCGCATTTAGTATTCAGAGTAGAATAATTGAACATAGTTGTTAATTTTAGTTTGATTTTTATTTGTTCTTTTTCTTATTTATTCTCATTCAAAAACTAAAGGGAAAATACCACTCCTGGACCCACATGATACCTTCCAGCTGATTGCACAACAGATCTATTTAGGTAGTGCTGGACCGCCGAATTTCGGCTATTATCTAGATCCTGCCACAAAGAAAACAATCCTACCGCCAGGACCACGATTCGTTGGTGAATTTAGAAATTTCTACTGGAACCAATATGATTTAATTGGTACAAAAGTGTTTCCAACAAAGTATACAGCTCAGTTGTTAAATCCACCTTCGATCAAGCATACATTCCCTATATGGCCGAGAGAGCAGACTTATGCAATCACACTGAAGCCTAATTTAATTTATGCTCATTTGAATAGACCAATTGAAATGAAAAATGGTGGTGATACATGGTTGATTGAATTTAAAACAAATTATGACGGAATATTGTTCAGGGTAAGATTATTTATTGTCCTTGAAAAATTATTGCAAATTTGAATCCTTACATTATTATTTTAGACTTTTTTCTCTTCTTTCTAAGGCTCAGTAAAGGTTGAATTCCATCTATTTTTAAGTGCAAAGAAATAAACAGACAACCATACTGCATTAGGTCGCTGGCTGAGTGGTTCAAGTTTGATTTTCAACCAATGCACTCGTAAACCTCCTGGACTAGTTTATGAATCGACAATAAACCTGGAAAAGAGCTACGGATAGGCTGCCAACTTCATTCCATAGCTTCAAGCCTTAAAGTTCCCGTTTGCGAAAAGACAATCGCGTAAAGTTGTCTAATTATAATGGCCATTGTTTAAATACTAGCCAATCGGGAATGCATTAGGTGGTTGGTTGCATGGTGACATATAAAATCAAACCCAGAGCTTCTGTTCTTTACCACGTGTCTCTAAATATATTATATCTAGTATGTCGTGTCACAATCATGTCATTTTTTTTCAAAAGTGAGATGTGAGCTTAGATCTACACATTGGTGTCCATTGCGTAGACTAGCAGATAATTTATGTTCTGTGATCTGAACAGCTTTCTGATAAGGTTTCTGGCCTTGAAGCTCAGTGACTGGAGCACAGCGTTACTCAATGGTCTCCTCAGTGAATGTTTAAGGCCACATTAGATGGGTGATAAGCTGTCAGTTAGTCCGCCACCTGTCAAAGTTCCTTGTTTCTAGTCCTTTCTGGCCGGTCATCCAACCATCAATACAGAACAAAGTGATGAAAGTCTGAAGCCTGTTGGAAATGCTTTTGTTGACACCCAAAGCCTCTGAGCCACAAAGAAGCACTGACTTACTCGACATTAGTATTGAAAATCCAAAACTGGTTGTTTAAGCATGATGGAGTAGATTTTCATAGTGATTTCAGACTAATGAAGTTATATCTTACCCCTTTAATCCTGCCTGGCTTCGACATCCTCATTCGTGCCACCTGTCTGTACTTTAAACGTTGATGACTGAAGATGTTAAAGAACTGGCATCCTTCATATTTCTCCCTTTGATAGTAGTTAGTGTTTGTTGTTGTTGGACGCCGGGTATTAACTCTGTCTTCCCTGTATCCCACTGAAATCTTGTATTCGTTGCCTGCCTCTTCTGACAACTAGTTGGTTTTCGCTTGTAGATCTTCCAGTTTGTGACACTAAACGTAAATCACCCGTGAAGCCCAAATCTTCTGGAGTCTTCTTGTTAGCCCAATATATTCCTGTCTTCCCACTCTCCCCAATAATACATGATCCAGTCGATCACAATCACGAATATCATCGGTGATAGTAGACAGCTTTATCTTACTCTTATATGGAATACTCTTGTTTTAAACTGACTGATGGACGATAAAATATGTTGTAATGAACACTAGCCAAAGTGTAGTACAGCATGATTGAGACATGAAATCCCACATTGGTATAGAGTTTTAAATGTCACATATTCTTTTAAATACTTGTACGGAATGCTTTCGTTTAAAAAAAATACTTAAGACGCAGAAACTGTGTGTCTCTATTCTGTTTTATCAAAGGATTTTAAACAGCTGAAGTATATCTTGACTGGTTCACTGCTTAGGAGCTTGGTTTACACAAATTACCAGTGTGAGTACTATGATATTTGTTTACAAACCACTAGGAACTTCGAAATATGCCAAAATGCAGTGAATGTGTAACAAGATCACTGATTCAGTCGATTGATTGTCACTTAACTGTCATTTAACTCTTTTTCAAAGAAAAATTTAATAAGCAGTTGCCTTGAATCGAAAAAATATTCTTACAGAATATTATTCACTTATTATGAATGTTACTACTGTTTGGTGAATATTGATGTAAGTATAAAACTTGGGCAGTGTGGTAGAGTATAACTCCATCATAGATAAAATTTTATTTTGATAAATCACACAGTGTTGTACACAAACTATTACTCATAATCATATCAAGTCACTCACACAACCTTTTACTTCATTCATATACATGAGTGAAATTGATTAAACATTTGAATAAAAATCAATATAAGATAATGTACATTCACGAATAATGTTAGTGTTATCAATCAAATACAATCAGATGGGAAATAAGACGAGTGTTTTTGTGGTCAAAATAAGTAACTTGTTAGAATGTTTTGAGGTGTTTAAATTGAAATAGAATTTTAAGATTATTATCCTTCTCTGATTTGACTGGTGGTAATAATATCTTCCATATCTTTGGCATTTGCATTGCATCATTTCCGTTGCATGTGTTGGGTGTAGATTCGATAAACCAGGATTCATTAATCAATCTCTCTCTCCACCTACCTATATTTGTACTGTGTGTTTGATGAATAGTCTTCGTGCATAAAGAATTGCCTGTATAACTGTTGGTGTTGTTAGGTATGTTTTGATTTTGATGAAATTAGCTGGTTAGCTATTTTGGGATGCTTGGTGAACAATAATGATGTTAACGAAACAACAACATTTTCTTCGACTCTTGATTGTTTCACTTGATCAAAGTATTTATAAATATTATGCATTTCAGGGAGACAGATAGTAAATAAATCAACTCACCTTGGACGGGTTCACTTCTCGGTAGACGCGCTCCTAAACCGACCTCATCACCTATTTCACTTACAGATGGTAAAACCAGAAACGCTAGCAACACTACCTCATAAAACAAAGTAACAGATTTCAAGGCTTGAAGCCTTTTGTTCCTGTTGGAGTGTGAGAAATGAAAGAAAGCCTCCGATTTAGAAATCGGTTACTTTTTTTAATGAAGTTTGAACAAGAAGACATCCACTGTTATGTGAGCTCATTTGTGCTTAGATTAACTAGAATCAGTTAACGGAATGTACCTGCCGGGAGTGGATGTCATTTAACAAACATTTGAAACAATGAAAGACTGTTAAGTTTAAAGTACCAGTGCGTTTATTTGTATGTATATAAGCTGTGATGATTACTGCTCTATAAAGTGTCGCTTTTAACACCTCATTTTCATAGATTGATCGCTCATTTGTATTTTATGTGGCCAACTGTTAATTCTCAAGTGTTTGTTCCTCAATCGCCACCATCCTTTTCAAACTTCTAATACTGACTGGTTGGAAGGTGTTGAGAGGAAATCCTGACTCTTTCACAATCGGTCTACAACACTGAAGACGATAATATCTTTGAGTGAATAAGAAAACATGGTGTAGTGATTATTCCATTTAAGGGAAACTTCTAAATGGGATTAGTAGTAGAAAGTATCACCAGGCTTAGAGATAAAATATCCACGATTAAATGATAGTAATAATAGTAAGAGCTCAGAGAATGCCAACCTAATTTTCAACTAAAAGTCTTTGCTGCTGTTGTTAGACGGTTAAAGGCAGTCGGCAGGGAAACCTTCCTTACCTAGGTTCCATGCTTGTTGGCACTCACCATTCATCAAGGTTCATCTGTAATATTGAGTGAACAGATCGCGTCGGTGATATAGCGGTTAGGACGCTCGCCGACCATGCACATGGTCCGGGGTTCGATTCCTGGCCAACACACTCCTTTACCTCGCTAAGCCAGAAATAATGCTGGTAAAGAGGAAAGGTAGGGCATGAGGCTAGCTACCCCATCCTGTAAAATAAACACTGCTACAGAAACTTCAAGCCACTAGCTTGAGGCCCTATGTTCCACTGGGGAACGTGAAGGAAAAAATTTAATTTATTGAGGGAACTCATATCCATTCTGAGATTTAAACTCGGGTTATTCAGCGCTGCAGTCAGAGGCTTTACCACTGAGCTTTTCAGGCTCTCTCTTGACCTCTTGAATACTAGGTATTAAATAATGTTATTTGTCTAGTTCTTGACTGGTAGAATACAGTCTATATGCATGAAATTAGTTGGCACCTAGTGTTCAGTCAAAGTCTTCGCTATTATTTTAACCCATCTCGTTTCAGTGTTTTCTAACCTTTTACTTTAGGCATGTATAAAATATAATAAAAGAGAAAATTGAGAATGATCATGATAAAGTTATGTTGCATCGTTAATTTATTTTCTAGGCTCGTGATATTCGGGAGCCTGACCGTATACATATTACAGCGTTAATTCTTGGAGGTCGTTTGCATATCGCTTATTTATTTCATGATCAACAAGGGGTGTATCAGTTGGTCGGCGGACCGGGTACAGATAATGTAGCTGATGGAAAATGGCATCGTCTTGGAATAACATTAAGAAAATATAACAGAGAAATTCTAGCTTACCTAGATGGCTATTCGAATGAGGTGAGTTATTACTTACAATGTAATTAATAAATACCCTTATTAAGAGACTTATACACTTGTCCAGATTTATTTTTTGATTTTTAAGGAGTTGACCCAGGTCAAAAACAGTTAGGGAACCATTAATCACTATCGGGGAGTACCGGACAACTGTTTCGTCCTTGTTTGAGACTCTCCGCCACTACCCGAGCACGAACCCATCGGGGATCAAACGCAGCACCTTCAGATTATACAGTCAAACTCTTTGATCACTCAGCAGATTGAGCCAAAATTCAGTGAATACTTACTTCTCTCAATTCGGGATATTTATATCGCCAACACCAACCAATGTCATTGGTGTGTATTTGTCCTCATATTTGACTTGTTGAACCCCAATGATCATGACTTCTCGGTAGAAATAGAATGAAATATGAGGTTTTGTCTGGTCTGTTTAATAATAGTATTTTTCTGGTTAGATCACAAAGTGACATCAGTAAGAGACTTATTGAAAACCAGGTAGTACTGGATAGTTGTTTCGTCCTGGTTTGAGATTCTTCATCAGTGCGTGCACCTTTGACCCCAAAACCAGGAATCAAACTCAGAATTAAATCTCACTATGAATTTTGTACTTTTTGTTCGTAAATTATTGGGAACTAGCTGATGTGTAGTAGAAAATACTTGGGACATGATATCCCGTACTGACATGTAGTTTTCAGTGTCGCAACTAAACTCTGAAATATATTGAATCGTAATATTTTTGACGGTAAGTTGTATGACCACTGAATGCTGAGATATTTTGTTTCCGCAAAAGGAAGTATTATAAGTGTGAATACAATCAAAGTGACAGGAGACACTCTTAAGTAAGCCCTTATTATCTTGTATCCTTGTATAGTAAGTAGTTAAGGAAGTAAGAAAAGTGCAACATTATCCAACACTGGTGTTTTGGTTATGAGTCATATTTGATTATGAACGAATAAGTTCATGAAACTATATACTATCGATTGATTGATATGAGTAGCTGTATACTACTCACATCAACCAGTAGTGTTTGCTACCCAGCCAGATCGATGCGATCCTTACATCGGAAGGTTGTTCCTTTCGTTTGGGACTAAATTCATTCACGGTGTATCCGTTTTTGTCTTATTTAGCTTAGAAAGCCGAATCAGTTCAAACTAACCGATTTCCCTTTAGCTAATTGGATGAATTGGCAAAAAAATTGATCAAATACCCAATTCTCAAATTAATTTTAGGTTTACACAGTTCGAAGTGAACTTTTATGTTGCGTCTAAAGATTCTTAATTCATCAGCGTAATACAGCATAACCCCTCAGTAACCATGAGAACAGACCATAAGTCTGAAATCTATCTTTTTTTTCCTGTCATGTTCTAGGTTAGCATGTGTGGAGTGATATGAAAGCTTCTATGGTGACATTCGTAACATATGTCCGAGCCAGGGAAACTAGTGTTCTAACGTCATAGTAAGTAGATATCCAAGTATATTCAGTACACTCCGCTGAATCATACCATTGCATAAAGTATTTCATCAATGGAGACAGATACATAGTCCGCCAAAGCTTATCAAAAACTTATAGAAACATTTTGAAACAAAGGAAACTGGTTAGGAAAATATCAAAAGAAACTTCAATGTGAATAAATAATTTATCCAACGAGGTGGTGCATTTGTTTCAGTTTCCGTCGACAGGAAATAATGTGTGGCTTAATGATATTGTTACTCTGAGGGTATAATTCTATTTATTAGACATCTTTTTTTGAGATAGCCAGTCAAAATCGTCAGAATATTTTCAAGTATTGGTTTTGTAGGGATTTTGTTTGTTTCGTTGGAGGATTTCATCGTGAGCTGACATCAGTTAGAGAACCACTAGAAAACCTGCGAGTAGTGAACAGTTGTTTCGTCCTAGTTTGGGACTCTCCACCAGTGCTCACCCACCCTCAGGGTTCGAACCCAGGACCTTCTGGTTACAAGACGAGCTCGTAGACCACTGAGCCACTAGGACCCCATTCAATGACCCATGAATTCTAACTGCGAATTCATCACATAACGCGACCGTTTCGCAATGTCTTCTTCGATGAGTTACTGCCTCATCTTCAACCTACTGTTCCTTACTGGTCACGGCTTCCCACTGGAACCCCAGGTCACTGCCTGAATATATTTTCAATAATCTTAGTGAGTTTTGTTTTGTAGAAGAATTGAGATACAGGAAAATGAAACGCTTCGCCATCTAGTGTTCAATGTTCAATAAACATTTTATTAGTTTCATTTATTTATTTACTTATTTAATATCTTTGTTTTTTCGTTTGGTTTTTTGAATTTTTCCAGTATCTCGTCGGTAAAAATTTGCGTCTAGACTTATTATCTCGATTTGATGTTTTCTTTGGTGGTATACCTGTAAATGAATGGTCAACATTGTTAAATTTATTACGTCAGCATGCTGATTCGTCTTTATCAGTTAGTGAGATTAAAAGTGGTCAACAACCTTCATTCACTGGATGCATTGGATCATTTAATATCAGAGCTAATAATTTCACTGATAATTTACTAAAAATATACGATAATTTTTTGACTGCTTATCCACCAAGTGAATTAGTACGTGGTTATTGTTTAGGTAAGTTCAAATGACAAAGAAAAAAAGAACAATTATCAATAAAACTATCTTTTCCTTCTATTTTATTTTAAATTATTTCCGTATCCAGTAGTAGTAGTAGTTCTTATCTAAGTAGGGGATAAAAATACCAATGTTCAGACTATTATTCTTGATGAATTTGCATATAAAGCAAATAGTTTCAGTGAGAAGAACGTTAAGTTAGAGAGAGAAAACATCCAGAGATATCATTTTCTTCCCGGACACATTAACATCACTTGGTGAGTGAATGTACTGAAAAGAATCTGAAATACTACGACAATAGAGATTATTTTGATAGGTAGAAGGATGTCTGTGAGACATTTGGCAGTAGCATAATATGGTGCATTTTTCGTGTCCACGAGAGGTGGTAGGGATACTTTTGGGAGACAATATAGCTGGAGATTTACATAACTCAAAGTTCGTAGTTGCTCAAATAATTCATAGTTAATAATCGATTCGTCCCTCATCTTCTTTAGTTTGCTTACTTTGGCTTTTGCGATTAGTTTCCTTTAAAAATTTGTTTTCGTCTGATACGATGGAAAAGATTTCATGGCTAGAACCGTTGTCGGGACAGGTCAGCGCCAAGTCTTTATTACCGAAAATCTCATGTAATTGCTTTCATCTCCTCTTCATACGATCTCCTCAGTGTCATCCTCATACCCGCGTCCAGATCTTCTTTTCACATTCGGGTTCCAGTCGAGTGTTTGTCATTAGCGTGATGTCACTCGACAGCCCTTTCGAGTATTCAAATTCACTTCATTCTGCATATTTCTTGATGGATCGGTTCCTCAGTGGTTCACTGACAGAGTTCATTGTCGGCCATCTTTTCCAATTAACTATCGGATCTACAGTATGAAGCGAAAGTAACCATTGATGAAAAGCCTTAGTCTACTGTTGAAAGTGCTTTTGGTTGCTCGCTTGGTCTATGAAACATACAATGTAAGAACTCATTTGACGTTAGTGTTGAAGATCCAGACCTTGTTACCCATAATGTATGCATTAGATCTCCACACTGATTTCAATCTAATGAAAGTCCGTCTTGCTTTTCCAATCATGTCCTTAATGTCCTCATCTGTACTGCCTGTAGTTGAAACTATGCTGCCTAGATAAGTGAAATATGTAACCGCCTTTAGATTTCTCCAGGAAATAGTGTCTCATGCTTGTTCTTGTAGTTGACCGCCTAGTATTTTTATCAAATGAGTAATTGTATGCGGCTTACATCAACCAATAGCACTTGCTACCCAGATCAGGTTCTATGATCAGAAGTCAATATATTCAGATTACTTTCATTAGTATCGTAAAGTTCCTCTCATGAATGTATTGAGAGATTTTGACCTATCATTCATCTGACAAGATTGATGTCTTTAGTGGGTAGGGTAGAATAGTCTGAATTCTCGTCTCTTAACCGTTCATCGGTATGGCTGATTTCGGTCCACAACGAAAAATATACTGAAATATATCAGTGTATCCAGTAATAAACTTAGTCTTTTATTTCATATTTTTTTTATTTTTATTATTGTTTTGCGTTCTGAATGGAACATTGGGCTCTAAGCTAGAGCTTTTGGGTTTCAGTAGCATCAGTTTTACCCAGACTCACTCCAAACGTTCCATCTCTACCGGGCTTATCACCAGCTAAGTGAGGCTTAGGAATGAGTTGGCCGAGGATTAAAACTCGAACCACGTGAGCAGTTGGCAAGTGTTCGATCACTGAACTACCGACGCCATTTCAGACTTATCTTCCAGCTATTTTATGATACGGATGGATCGTGAAAAATAATGTTAAGTAACAGTATGCTGACAATAAATTATATTAATCAGAATCTTTATCACGGACATCATTATCGAATTAGCTTAGTCGTTTACTTATTGAAATGGTGATAAGTTGCGTAAAATTTTCATCAAAGCGTCCTAGTCTACTTATGACTAGTGCGACATTATATTTCATTTATAATAATCAGTTAATTCCAAACAATAATCTTCCATATGGAATGAAATTTTCAGCCTTCTACGTATCGTAACCACTTATCTCCATGTACGAATCATTAAACACATAAAATAGTAAAAATCATAAAACCACAAAAACTGAAAGTTAATGGAAGAGGAATATATGCGGTAATTAATAATGCTGGTAATAAGTTGCTATTTGTGTACAAATTAGATTATAAAGCATGATTATAAGCGCTTTTCTGACATCTGTCTTTTCACACAAAACTCCGTGCAAAATATGTTATGATTAAGTCCTTACTTTTTTGCCATATGAGCACTAATTCTTATGAAATTTCTTCTGGCTTCACCCGAAAAGATACAGTGGTGGCGATGCAAATAAAGAGGTGACTATGACCAACTTCTTGCAACAATCAAACTGTCTATCTATAATAATGTCACTTAGTTGGGTCAGAGATACACCACTAACCCTCACCATAGGCTTCAATGTTTTACATAATATAACATATTCATTTTGATAACCTCAGGGAAGAATAAAGGGGAACAATATAGAAGAATAGGCAGAATTAGTAAATTGTATGAGAAGAAGGTAAGTTATTCTGAAAAGTCTCAACTTCCTCATGTTATAAGTCACATGGAAGATTGTCTTGTAAATGAACAAGATATGAGACGATCAACACAGATTGGAAGAGAAACAGATATTCGATTTTTTTACCTATCGCAAGAATCATAGGATTTAGTCTGAAACTAAAATTAATGGTCTCACATTTAGAGGGATTTAGTTTAAGACCATTTAAATAAGACTAGAAGTTAACAGCAGATAAGAAACTATCCATATCAGAACAATCTCATGCAGAAATGACTGGGACAAAGTTTGTCAGGTTACCAGCATACACAATGAAGTCAACTTTGGAATAAAACGGGGTAAGTCATGCAAAAAGATAGAAAAGAGAAATGGAGAACATTTAAGCTATTTTTACTCCTTATCTTCCCATCGGTCTATCTGTTTTATTCTAGAATAAATGGAATAGTGGATGGTGCATTCTTATCAAATATTGATATCAATAATCTGTTTGAGTTCGTATTGTTATTTTCTTTTTACTTTTCCTTCTAGACTTACAACGCTGTACATCGAATTACTGTGATAATTATGGAACGTGTAAACAATTATCGGACAATGAAGTGCAGTGTGTATGTACTGGCACGGGGTTTACTGGTCCAAGATGTCGTACACCGATTTGTAATTCAGGTTATTGTGCTAATAGAGGTCAGTGTTATATTGGACCTAATGATCAACCACAGTGTAATTGTACAAGAACAGGCTATTGGGGAGATCGTTGTCAAATTCCAATTTGTCCACCTGATTATTGTGGTCGAGGAAGGTGTACAGTAGGACCAGATGACAAACCGGTTTGTGATTGTACAGGAACAGGATTCACTGGACAGAGATGTCATGATACCGTATGTACTCTAGGTTATTGTGAACATGGTGTATGTACTGTTGATCTTATCACTCAGCAGCCTAAATGTAATTGTAGAGGTACAGGTTATGATGGTCCAAGATGTCAAAATCCAATATGTCCTCTTAATTATTGTGAAAATCATGGAGAGTGTAGAGTTGATTCAAATGATCGTCCAGTATGTGATTGTTCAAAAACTAATTATTCTGGTCCCACATGTAGTATACCTTTATGTCCACTGAACTACTGTACAGGACATGGTGTATGTGTTGTTAGACAAAGGAATCCCACATGTGATTGTTATCCAGGTTATAGAGGATTAAGATGTGAAATAGAGATATGTCCACCGAATTATTGTTTAAATAATGGTACTTGTTATCCTGGACCAGACAATCGTCCACATTGTACATGTCCTGTTAATTATGAAGGGGAACAGTGTGAAAGAGCCAAGCTTTGTCCATCAGACTATTGTCTACGTGGTCGATGTGAAATGATTCATGGTATGCCAAGATGTGATTGTTTAGGCACAGATCATAAAGGTACACACTGTGAAATACCTGAGGTCTGTCCACCTCGTTATTGTCAAAATAATGGTGTTTGTTCAGTAAGAGGTGGGAATTATATATGCGATTGTACAGGAACAGGATATCGTGGAAAAACGTGCTCGGAGCCTATTTCATGTCCACCAAATTATTGTTATAATGAAGGCATTTGTTCAGTCCTACCTGGAAATGTCTACAAATGCGACTGTTCTATGACAGCACGAACTGGACCTCAGTGTGACAGCAGTAAGTTATCGTATTGGCTATACTATGGTTATATTTTAGTCATATTTTAAAACTGTGTGGAAATTTCTTTAATGGAATATCTGATTTTCCCGTTGATTAATTGGACTAAAACGTTCAGCTACTGTCGGCATGTTGGCTGCAGGTAAGGATGCTTCAACAATGTCTGAGGATTACCAGTGATGTTATTTGGTAGGTGATGACCGGCAGTGGAATTCAGGATGATTGTTTTGTCCTACCTGGGACTCGTCACCTGGATGCACTTGCATTCCCTAATGAGTGATATTCTGACTGAGACTAGAACCAATCACCCATAGTTTTAAATCTCGTAGTTTTATCCACTAGACTCTTCGGGGTTAGAAAGACACCTCCAGTGTGATGAGAATCTGTTATTATTTGTCAAAACAAATACCTGTTGCAAGTACATCTAGCTGGTGAGTCTCAAAAAGTACGAAATGCGCATCCCGGGTTCCACCAGATTGTGCGGAAACTTAATGAACAACTATAATTTATGTATCTGTCAGTGTAAACAAAACAACCTGATTCGTCATTTGATAAGAGGGACGAATTTCATTAATCCAGCCCAGTTACCTACTAGTTTTCACTAATCAGACATATTTGAAATTCATTCACTACTGCTATGATTTAAAAAATGCTGAGAAGCTACTCAGATTCACAGATAGATATCTGTCTTCTTACTGACTGATTGTTCCAAATATCCTGCATCAGTATTTAACCTTTTGACTATTAATAATGATTATCGACCAATAAGGTGTTGTCCGTACTAACAAAGGTTCAGTGGCAGATTGCCTATCAACTATGCATGTTGGCTTGGTTCGATTCCTGGCCGGAATACTCCTATACCTTGATTAACCATTAGTAATGCCAATAAAAAGAAAAGGTTGGGATAAGTGAATTTAGGAACCTCATCGCGTAAAAAATAAGCGCCACCGCTACTGAAGTAGTAAAGCTCATGCTTCAAGGTCTATTTTCCACTCGGAAAGGGAAGGAATGAAAAGAATGAACTAGTTCGTGATAGGGTAAACCTTTGATCGGTCGATTTCCCATACGAAAAACAACTCAATACTTATCAAGTGATTTGATTCGAGATAAATTCTTCAGAGTATAATTGATAAATCGTAGTTGATGAGGACAGCCAGGTAGATAGAATATTTAACAGAAATACTCAGAGATGTTATTATGCAGCAGTAGAGCTATTCCACGAATGGTAAGAAGTCGGAAACCGTCATTAGGGAATAGAAGTCTTTGGTCACTTCCTCTCCCTACTGTTGCGAATGAACAAATCCACCATCCTCAACTGATGAAGTCCTGAAGTCATAAACTCTCTTCTCAATCCAGATGATTTTCACCATCTTTAAATTACATTTTACCTTGCATTTGTTGAAAATTTTATTTATGTTATGACATTATGTTGCCGATTTCTTGAGTCGTCTATCTTGACTAGAAAGTGTCTAGAAAGCGACTAAAACCGACTCGTTGTGGTCTAAACTCGGAGAACCGATCCTTGAGTCCTGCTGTATAGCTGCCCGAAACTTACTTGAGAGACGCACAGTCACAAAACTCTCCAAAGATGGCAAAAAGACGATTGCTTTTGATTGGGATCTATGTGGGATATTCAACATTGCCATTAGGCAGTTATACAGGTAATGTAGATTTCTAAGCACAAAACAAATACTTAGCATCAAGTAGAATACTCCTAGCAAGATGGGATTAAAAGCTCTGTCCACAAGAACCACACACCAATGCTTCCCACAGACAGTCCAAAGTCAGAATCACCTTGATTTACTTGAACAAAATTACATCGTTCAACAAATTATCAGTATACTCACGACTACAAAGAGAAGCAATGAAATTAGAGATTAATTAAACAAGCATAAAGACAAATAATAAGGATCAAATCAACATGTGATATGCAAATGTCAAAATAATTATATACAGTAGGTGAGAAAAATGGCTAACAATTACAGAGTTAGTTGAAAGGTACAAACAAGTATCAGTATTGTGGTTAGATCGTTCAGGAGGGATTTTCTAAACAGTCTTTGCGTTACAATAGCCAACTGACAACTCTAAAATATCCCCCTCCCACTGAGATAATTACAAAAGCCAATCAAACGCGACAACCGGGACAATTTTTATTGAACAAAATACGTGATCTATCATATTTGCAAAATCTTAGGAATTTAAGCCATAAATAAATAAACTAATCTGTCCGGTTATATGACATAGCAAATCCTCAGAAAATTAAGTCATAAATATACGGATCAAAAACTGTCCAGTCAGGTTATCATGTCAGCGCATACATAAATCATGACTTCACGGCTAAAGAAAAGTGTGTCTGTCCTGACAATTTACTTTTTATTTATTTTAACTATAGGTGCTCATGGTATACATATAGGTTACGAAAATGATGGTTATTTAATTTACAATTTAATTCCATCTGTACGTACCACTGAAGACAATGTAACATTTGGTTTTAAAACATACATGAATACTGGGACATTAGTCACTTTTATGACAACAAATGGAAAACATTGGGCTATTAAATTAGTAAGTTAATCTAGTTAAAAATTGTTGTTGTATTTTTTTTTCAGTATAAACAAAAATAGGTATGTTAAAGTGTATTCATCACAGTGTCTCTGATCTCGGATCCGTTGATCCTGGTAGCGCTCATCAACATGGCATGTTTATATAGTTGAAGGAATTTCCATTTATTCAGAAGAAGAGGAATCAGGGAAAACAATTATGCTTTCGATAAATTCTTCTTCAGGCTCTACAATTATAAATCAATTTATTTTAGCATACACAGCAGCACTGGTAAGGGCAAATTAGATTTATATCAGAAGATTTATTGTGGAACAAGTATAAGATACCATGAAATAATAGTCAGTTTTAATTATAATTTAAAATATGTATGACGAATAAAAATACATATATCGATATAGTCACCGAAAGGGTGAGTGTAGTCAGTGGTGCGAGAAATAGCATTATTACAATATGGAAATAAACTAGCAAATGGGACAAACTAGACGTAGGCTTAAGGGTGAAAAATAATAGTAGTAATGATGGTGTGTTGTAAACTTAAAAACACTATTAATGAACGATTATCAAGGGCCAATCAAGTGGAATGAACAGGATTGTGTAAATATAATAATAAGTTAGAGAAGCATTACGTAAACCTAAGTTAATAGTAATAATAACAAAGGGCATGAAGATGTAAGAAGTCTGAAATAAACGTTTGATATCAGTATAAAACTTAGGCACTGTGGTAGAGTATAACTCCATCATAGATAAGATTTTATTTTGATAAATCACACAGTCTTGTACAGTAACATTAACTGATGACGTTTCGAGCACAAATTATTGCTCATAATAAACGTTTGTCAATGAAAATGTCACCCTCATATAGATGCCCAGCTTGTCTTTTCCCTTTCGAATTCCACTTAAGGGACTGAAGTGTGATATCACTTTCAACAGCCTTCTCGGTGTGTGTTCAGTCAATCTCCATTTTATTCTGAATAATTGTTTTAGAACCCTGCTCGATTCGTTGCTTGTCAAACTTCTTTTCTGGTCAGTCAGCTGATCTTCAGTATGGAATGAAGTGGGTAGCTACTGATAAAAGTGTGAAGCCTGTTCGAAATGCTTTTGATGACAAGTCGAGCCTCTGAACTACAAAAAAGCACTGTCTAGCTTCACATTATTATTAAAGATGTGAATCTTGTTCTTTACGTCTAATATAGGGTAAAGTATTTTTTAATTTTATTCCTTTACGCTCCCAGTGGGACATAAGGGTTCAAGCTAGAGCTTTGAAGTCTCGGTAGCAATGCTGTTCACTCTTACGGGATGGGTTTGCTAGCCTCATGCCCAACCTTCCCTCTTTACCAGTCTTATTACTGGCTTGTGAGGTGAAGGACTGCGTCGACCGGGAATCGAACCTCAAACCACCTGCATGGCTGGCAAGCATTCTACTGCTGTGCCACCGACTCACTGGGTAGAGTATAACATTTATATGCGCTTTAATCTCTCTGTAATCTTTGCATAAAATCATTATGGCACTGTTGATTTTACTTCATATTTATTATTTTTTGTTTTAATAGCGTGATGGACGTGTTGCTATCGATTTGGGGGGTAAAATTATGCACGAGTTTGGAGTACGATCTGATGATGGAAATTATCATATAGTGAATATAGAACGTAAGGGAAGAACAATGATGATTAAACAAGATGGTGATGTCATTCGATTACCATTAACAGGTGAGAAATAGTCATCATTGTAACCATGGTGATAATGGTCGTGATGTATATGGTGATAACGTCACTTGGTTGAATTCGAAACGAGTCATTCCATTTCTGTGTTCATTTGTATTCAGCTGAATGTGTAAATTGCTAGAGCTAATGTGTTTTGCAAGACATTGATCAAAGCTAACGAATCAAACCTTAGTTTGATTTTTATCGCAAATATCCAGTCACGAATCTATGTCAAATAAACCTAATATTCAAGGAGTCAGCATGTTGCAATTCAGCAAGTTCATTTGAATTCCATCACCTATACCCTACAACTTTGGGTAATATACAATACGACGCAACTTCCTTAAAAGTTGAAGTGTGTATGTGTGTGACGAGGCTAAGGGAATAATGTAAGAGAATCTCGAATGTTTAAGTATAGTGTGAGCAGAAGAATTTACGATTATATAAACCAATTATCATGTAATGTCGGGTTTTCTGACAGTAAACACTGAGTCTTTTCAACGTCTCAGACATAACATATGTCTGTCTCACATGAGAATTGTAGTGTTTGTTTATTGTCAGATGGTACTACAGTAGTGGTTTGAATCGATTCCTGGTTTAAGGATGTGGAAGTAAAGCGGTTACGTTATTTTACTGAAAAAGTCATTTACGAAATAACATCATTCTTAGTGGACTGATTGCTGATTAACTTTCGGCATTGATACAAAAGATTCATTCACTATTCTCTAAATCACACCATGTTTGGCGCTGGTGAATTATCAAATTATGAATGTACTCACCAGTAGTTCAATAGGTTCTACTTAACGAATTTGAGACATATATTATATATATATATATATATAGGTATATCAATTCTTAATTGTCTACAAAACCTCTATAGGTTTAACCGATGCGTATGATAACAGCTTTACCTACAACGCTGTTCATGTAGCTGCGGATGAAAAGAAGTCTAATATCTTCCGTGGAGTAATCGGAGGTAAGTGTTAGAACTACTTAGCATTAAATCGAGTCTGTTTTTAAATTTTTATTTAACGAACGTTCCATAATCATATTGGATGCAATCATTATTTTAATTTCAATTTTCTCTTGTGAGATATTTTAACACAGCATATAAGTATGTGGGGAAAAGGAGCATCTCTCGATTGTTATGATTTGAAATAAAAGCGTTAATCCTAATAGTGGCACTATAATTAAGATCTCAGTTGGCAAAACAGTATTGGTGATCAGCACCAATTTTTTTTTTATTATTTTTCTGCACGTTCCCAGTGGAACATAGGGCTCCAAGCTAGATGCTTGAAGTTTCTGTAGCAGTGGTGATTATTTTTACAGGATGGGGTTGCTAGCCTCATGCCAAACCTTCCATCTTCACCAGTCTCACTACTGGCTTAGTGAGGTAAAGGAGTGTACCGGCCGGGGATCGAACCCCGGACCATGTGCATGGTCGGCGAGCGTCTTAACCGCTATGCCACCGACGCACCAGCACCAATTAGCACAAATGAAAAGATCAGAATCTTTATCAGTAATGTGAAGTCGCCGCTTCTGTATGGTACAGCGACTTGGTATGCATGTCATCAAATGCATTTTCAGAGGACAACTTCAGAACTTCATCAACAGCTACCTTCGCTGGATCCATAATGAAGATCATATGGCTAGAAGGGATTAGCAACAAGGAAGTGTCACAGACAGTGAACTAACCAACAACCGATCACCCGTCAATTATTCTGAAGAAAATGGAAACACTCTGAGGAGACTGTTGAGTGATATCTCCCGACAGACCCTCCAATGAAACCCACATGAGTAACGATTAGTTTGATTTGATTTCGTAGACGACATAGAGGAGATAATGAGAGGAAGAAATGAAAGTGTATGGGAATTAGAGCGGTCAACTAAAGATGACTAAAGAGGACATAAGGAAATGGAGATATGATGACTCACTGGGAGCTTAAGGGAGTAATCCTAATGTGATAAGAATCATTAATACGCACATATCAATCCCAACTTCATTGTTAACTTTTTTTGTGTGACTTATATTGTTTGAGGTAATTCGTCTTAATACTGGTAATGGTAAACTGTTACTGTGATGAACGTTAGAGTTAGAAATTCAATACTTCATTTTTACTTAGATCAAAAATACGCAAGTTTTAGAAGTAAAAAAAAACAGTTGTCCCGTATGTTTAATCATAATTATAATTCATTATAAGCTAACATTTGAAACTTAACCTGATACTCACTAGTAGCTGGCTACAGGGTGGATTTGCCAGGAGTTGTGGTGAGAAGTCATCACCAGTGGATTCCTCCAAGTTAGGTGTCAGGACAAATACTCAGCGACAGAATTGACTGGCAGTGATGCCAAAAACTGTGAAATGGACTGACTACCGGATTCCAGCCCAAGTGGTCGAATGGTCGCATCATAGCATGAAGGTCCTGAAGTAGGACCCTGGAGGGTGCGTACTAATGAAGAGTCCCGAACTAGGACTTAATAGCTATCCATTACTGCCTGCTGGTTTCCAAGGTTTCTGTAACTGATATCAATTCGTGATCAAACTTGAAATCCTAAAATGGTGTTAGACACTAGGAATCAGTTGATAAAGAGCTCTACCTAAGTGAACGTTTGACCAAGCATTCAGTGCAGTAAATAAGCTAATTGGCAGGGTATTGAATTCATGAGGTAGTTCTGTTTCAGTTATCCAGTGCTTTGTAGATTATACTCGACTTCTCCTTTTAACGCCACTTACCTACAAAGGCAACGGAGACCAAGAAGAAAAGAAAAAGGAGTTATATAGACAATTGAAAACAGTAATGAATTCATAAAGAGCTTAGTTCAATCCAGTTAAGTTTCCTTTCAAAAATTTTGTGTATATATTTTAATGTCTCTATTTAAAAAAATCATTTATCTCTTTTGTTTGCAAAGGTTTGCACTGGAACGGACGATATCCTATTAATGAATTACATTCTGGTCGAGTTACAGCAACTGGCACAGTGACAGTTGTTCCAACGCCAAGCTTTCCTATACTTCCACCAAAACCTCAACCTGAATGTGCATCAGACTATTGTTTAAATGGTGGCAGATGTGATGCACAGAATTACCAAAGAAGGTGTGACTGCCTTTATACTGCATACAACGGTGCGCGGTGTGAAAGACGTAAGTGTTATCTTTTATACTGTATGTGTGAACACCACTCATAGGAATGTAAGTCAGGTGTATAGGCTAGGGTAGCCAAAAGTAATGTTAAGTGATTATTCTGACTTCACGTACTAAAATGTTTCAAATTATAACTATTTTTAATTCATCTTCGATTCTCCCGTTTATTGACTGGACCGAAATGTTCGGTCTCTGTTGATATTTCCTCTCCTTGCGGGGATGCTTTGACGACGTCTGAGGATTACCGCAAAGTAATGTCGTGGATAGTGGCTAGCAGTGGAATCCAGGATGCTGACATGAGTTGCACAAGGGGTGGATCTGGTGGCTTAAAGGGTTTAGTGAGTAGTGCTTTGGAGCTTGAAACGATGGGAACTGGGTTTCATCCTCAGTGTTTATTCCAATAATAGTCACCATCCATCAAATAACACCGATACTAGTCCTTAAACATCATCGAAGTATTCATACTAGGAGCTGAAATGTCAACTGGAGCTGAACATTTTGGTTCAATCAATAAAATTGACTCAAAGAAAAAGCGAAATGCGTCCATCAGTAAACTAAGCATCTCAGCGCTGATTAAAATATCTAATGGTTCAGTATGAATAGCGTGTAAACGCATATGTGAGACATTTGGAATAATTATTTCCCTTTATGAATTTCGAAAAACAATAAGAAGATTTAAATTATTTGAATAGTGTAGTGTATCTGCACAACACATTTTGAACAATCCTATCATACATCTACTTGTTACAAGAATTTGTATGAAAATAATAAAGCGTTAAAGGGTGAGAGAACAGACATATGTCAAGTTAAATGGCTATATTGAAGGCCTAATAGCCATGGAGATCAACAAATGAAAGTACATGTATTCTGGTATCAAAATAAAAAAAATTTCCAAGGAAGGTTTAGTGTGATGATGGACTATTTGCGAACACATAAGGGTGCTTTAAACCTCCCAATCGCCAGGGCGCCCACAAATTTATGGACACACCCCAAACACATTTCATAGATAGGTTCGAAAGACGTACAATATTGAATTAATGACCTGTCTATATAACACGTTTCTCATTAGAAGGGCGAGGTCGTCTTTTTTCACCATTGATTTAATCTGCTGATGGAGCCATTTGTGGATATATTTTGAAGCGCTTATTTTTGGAGATCATTGAGTCCTTCATATGTATATGTGGTTGCAGGTACATTCAAATGGATAGATGCAGTATGATATATGGGCTTCACATTATCAGTTATCCGTATCGTAGCTGCATATGAGGAAATACGAAGCACGTAATGAACACATATTGAAGCAATGCTGTGATTCATGTAAAACAAAGCGGACAAGCATTCAGTAAGAACAACATCCGATCCCCCGAAATAACTAACTTGCTAAGAAGAGGTATACCTCTAAGGAAATTTAACAACTCCACAATATACTGTGTTGTCTTTTTATTACCCCTTTGCTTTTTAAGTGAAATGTCTGGCTTCAGGCTTGAAGCCTTGAAGTTTCTGCAGTCTTAGTTTTGTTTTATTTACAGAGTGGGGTTATGAGCCTCACACCTGACCTCTCCTCTTTTCCGGGCTTGCTATCGACTAGTAAACTAGGTAGGGTTTAGGCGTGCGTCGTTCGGGAATTGAATTCAGAATCATCTGCGTGCTGTGATCCACACTTATTGTGTGAAAATCAATGGCATCAATGAAATACGTTGATGAAAAGGGGTTTGAATCGCTGCCCTAATCAATGAAAGTCATACACTCAATCCAAAAAATCATCCCACTGTGAATAGTATATCAATTAATGGACAATATTGTCAGTCATATATTTTGCTGGTAAAACTTTTGTGACCAAAATAATAATATGCCAATAGAATTTCCTATAATTGTATACAGTGAATATTACGTATATTCAATATTTTAGAATCTCGAGGTTTTATGCCATATAGAGAAGATAATGGAGCATATATGATTTATCATATAAATCCGTTGAATAGGACTAATCGAGATCAGTTAAGAGTCGCTTTCCAAACCTGGCAACCGAATGGACCAATTGTTCGGGTTATACAAACAGATGGATCATACTATGAAATATACTTGGTAAGTGATACGAATCATAAATAATAATAACAATAACATTAGTAATAAGTTTCAGAAAACAGTTATCCGTTTTATCAAGTGTTGGTTTGTAGGGATTTGATTTGCTTCAAGTTTGATCACGAATTAATGTCATTTAGAGAACTACTAAGAGCCAGCAGGAGATAGTGGACAGCTGTTTAGGTCTCTTTAGCAGTACGAGCCGTCCAGAATTAGAACCCAGAATCTTCTGGTTACAAGACAAGCTCTTAGACTATTCAGCCTTTGGAGCCCGATCCATTGGCCCACGAAACCAACTTCCGCCAATTCGCGATACATATATATAGTGAAACCACCAGTCAACGTTATAGGCAAGTAACTCTTCTCTTGCTTGACCTCGTGAACCCTGCCGCTCACTAGGTAGCTTCTTGTATACAGCCAGTCGCTAGTGAGCATCAGATTAACTAATAATTGTTGGCTTGCAGGGATTTGACTGGTTATAGATTGGGTCACGAATTGACATAAGTTATAAAACCATCGGAAAACTAACAGGGAGTACTAGACAGTTGACTCGTCCTATTTCAAGATACTATTACTTAAAAATTTGATTTATTATATCAGTCAGTTGCTTTTAAAATTTAAACCAAAAGAGGCTTTTTTGAAATATGGTTACTGAACATAGGTGATTAAAGTATTTCATAGAAATTCGAGTTTGAAATGAAATAAAGCTTTAGAAAATGAAAATTCTCAACAGTTAGTTTGTAGGGATTAGATTTGCTTCAAGTTTGATCACAGACGGATATCAGTTAGAGAATCACTGAAAACCCTCAGGAACTACTGGACAGCTGACTTCTGCCAATCTCGGTCACCTCATTCTCATGCATTCAAGACCTCAGTAAGAGCGGAACCTTATACCTTCAGGTTAAGAGGTCAAGCTTGTTGGCAGGAATGATAGAAGTTAGCTTTCACGGGTCATCGAATTCCGCCCAAGTGGCTGAAGGTACTGGTTTCGATTCCTTTCGGGTGAGGATCATGAATACGTAATACTGAAGAGTCCTAAAATAGTACAAAACAGCTATCCGGTCCCTCGTGTTGGTTTTCAGTGATTATCTAATTGATATTCGTGATCAAATTTGAAAATGTAAAATGTCGGTAGGCTACCATCAACTACTCATAAGTAGGCAAAAGTGTCTGAATAAAATGTTCGTTGATTTGCTGCAGTTGTCTAAGAATTCGAACAGTATTTTTATGTATATAATTTTTTGTCCCAAAGTTAGAAAGCCGATAAACTTCAACAAGATGTTTCCATATATATTGGTTTAGTATCTATATTTAGTGAATAAAAGAGTGAATGAAATTTTAGTAACATTGATGGTTACCTACTCTTAAGTGAAAATGTTTCTGTGTAAGTAAATAGAGCAACTGATCTATAGATGTTAACCCTAGTTGGGAAAAATATGGTTTGGTTGGTAGCCTTCATAGACCATAAATCACTCTAGCACGAAGTATTTTTTTATGATTACAAAAAACTATTTATTTATTTTTCTCAGTTTCATGTAAGTATTGATGTTGTTTTAAGGAGATTTTGAATAACACCGTTAAGATAAGGGACTTATCAATGATTCGATGAAAATGGAAGTTTACAAAACAAATGTACTGAGGAATTTAGTAGTATTAATTTACTTTAGATAGATGAAATTTGATCTTCATCATACTGTATACTACCTGGCTATGCACTGCACTCAGCCTAAAGGCAACATTGACCATATCACGATGTGCTATGCAAAGGTTGGTTTCCAGGGTCTAGATTGACTTCAGGTTAGATCACAAACCGACATCAGTTAGGCAACGATGAAGAAGTGTTTTGACCTAGTTTGGAACTCATCAGTAGTACCCACCAGGAATCGAGTCCAAGATCTTCAATTTATGAGGCAGGCCAGTTGAACATTGAATCAATGGCAAGTAATCCATTGGTCAGTCCACGAATTAGACCTTCAACCAATTTTCAGTGTATAGAGCGCCACCGCGATTCAGTGTCTTCGCTAAGCATTTGTCCTCACACCCAACTTTGCGGACATTGGCGGTAACTGCTTTGTTTTCAGAAGGCGTTTATTGGAGTTTGCTAGTTTCATTGTTGTTTTTTTGTCGTCAAGGTACATGTTTACCCTCCTCCCTTACTCCCATTATCAAGCGTGTATGTGTATCCATACATACATATGTACACTCACTCAAACTGGTATATAGTGTAGGATAGGATGTTATTATTTTCTAAATGTAAAGGTTTGCTTTACAGCGTGTACATCGCTTTCTCGACAATGGTAATCCAGAGTGAATATACGAATACGCAGTCCACTTATTACATGCTTTATATTTTGAGCACAGCTTTTGCCTCCGTTTTGACCAAGGTAGTGCTACACGAAGATTTATTTCGACGACTATCAGACCAATGAATCGTAACTTCAGTTTTCAGTGATCAATAATAACACATGTCTTTTCGAAAAATAAGCCTCTCCTAATTCTTGCTGGTGGACTGTAAAGACTGATTCTTCAAATAACCCACTTCATTCTATGATACACTCCTGGTTCTTGTTGTAGAACCCTTATAAGTACAGAAGCAAAAGTCAGTAAATTTGGAGTTATGTATCTCTGACCAATTCGGATTTTTAGTCTAAGGCAAGTAAAAGTATGCGCATACACAACACAACGAGTAGTCGAGCTCAGAACAATTTAATCCAAATAAGTGCCTTTAAATTTTGCTTCTATTAGTTCCAAATATCAGATCCCCTGACTTCTAAGATTCTCAGTGATTTAGTGGTTAAAGGCATCACTTTGTAACATGAAAGTCTTAGGTTTAATCCCTGGTGTGGCTACTGGTCCGCACAGAGGAAGAGTTGCGAACTAAGTCGAAACATTTGTCCAATACTCCTTGATTTAACTAAGTTGGTATCTCGATAGTAGAATGCTTGCCAGCCACGTGGAAACTGCTGGTTCGATTCCTAACAGAAGACACTTCTAAGCCTCACCTAGTTTACTAACTAGTAGTAAGCTTGGAAGAGAAGAAATTTTGTGCTTGTGGCTAGCAGCCTTACCCGCAAAACCACTGCTACTGAAACTTCAAAGCTAGAAGCCCTATGTTCCACTCGTGACTTAGATAAAGGAGAGAGTTTCTGAGAATTACTGTTGCTGCTGTTGTTCAGCTATATACTAGCGGGATAATGAAAAATATAAGTGGTTTTCTAAGGAATATTTTGTCAGAATTAATCAACCCAAGATTCTGGATTCAGTCATGGAGGGAGTTGAGGCAGTGATTGTTAGAAGTTCTGAAATCAGTGCAAAATACTGTTCTAATGCTCTGTAGCATTTAAATAGATCATTAGCTTACATCTTCATCGATTGTTGTTTTATTTTCAGATATATCACTGAAGTTTTGAGACTTTCAGCCTATTTTAAATCCTATGCTAAGAAATTTATTTATGTGATATATATATGTATAAGTTACAATTGTGGTTGGAATCCACGAAAACATTAATAGATACCTGAATGTTTGCGACATTTTCTACCTGTTAGTGTTTGTGTGTAGAAGTGTGAGTGTGGGAAAATACAAAACAGGTGATGTAATTCCCAATTTGGCTACATCTTTCATTGTAGTAAAACAAATAATTTTAGCATGTTTTCACATGTAAAAAGAAGTAATATAAATTTTACAAGCAAATAAGTTTTAATTGCAGATAGACACAAATGATACTCACAAAATATATCCATTTATTGAAGAGTAAAGACCATGCTGTCTACTACCATTTATGATATTGTAGTGGGTCAACAAGAAGAATGCAGAAGACTTGAATTTTGCGGGCACTTAACGTCCACTGTCACAGAAACTCTGACATCTAAAGGTGGAAGATGCAGCAAAGACAAGCTTTCAGGTGAACATGGGGAAATAACAGAGGTGATAAAGATACCGGATAACAAACATCAACCACTATTAACAGGAAAGTCTAAGGGAAGTCACCTCAGCACGGATGAAGATGTCAAAGTCAAGCAGGACTGGAAAGACAAAGCATACTTTCATTGATCTGAAATCAGTATGGAAATCGAATGCACTAAATATAAAGAACAAGATACTGATTTCCAACACAAGTGTCAAGTCAATCACTGATTCTGTGTAGTTTGGTGACTTGAGCGTCTCCAATAATGTTTCCATTAGGCTTCTTCATACTTTCATCAACACCTGCCTTCTCTTCATACTCAAAATCAGATGGTGAGTTGGAAAGGATAAGCAACAGGGAACTTGAGTAATGAACAAACTGACAACCTATCGCCTATCCAATGTGAGGAAGGAAACGGAGATGGATTGGACGTATTACACTTAGGAGACTGTTGAGTGACACCACACTCCAGTCTGTCTAGTGGAAGTCGGATGGGAGACGACGTGTCAGGCACGGTTTCCAGATTGAAATAGAAGAGAAGATGTGAAGAGGAAGTGAAAGCATATTGGCGGTCGTGGTGCTAGTTCAAATCGATGGGTAGATTGAATCATAATAATAATAATAATAAGCTTAAAGAACTGTTCCACTCAAATCAACTACTTGTAATACTTAGACTATCTAAATACACCAGCAATCAAAGTACAACTGGGATAATCATGAAAACGTCAGTTGAATTTTCATAACCATATATATATCCTTCATTTTGCCTGATTATTTGACATTTTGATCATATGTTTTACACATTTTGATTACATGCATCTTATATATTTTAAACCAGCGGAATATAGGAGAATTGTGTTTATGGTATAATTTCTGATATCATCATCAATGACATTATCAGTAGTAATAGCAAAACGGGGAAAAATGATCTACTTTCAACTTTTTGCTCTACTTTTTTATACATGACTGTGGATACTTATGATAAAAAGTAGTGTGTATGAAAAGAACACTGTCTTATTTAATGAAGATGGTGGAATACATACATCTGCTTTTAGATATTTATGTATGGATGAATTAGTGTTAGTAGTACGAAGGATCTCTTCGTATATTTATTCCACAAAATGCTTCAGATAGGACTGGTTAATAGAAGAGAGAGGGATAGAAAGAAGAGAAAGCAAACGCAGATATATAGACGGGTGAAACAGTAGTGTTCTCCAAAAAAGTGACGGTGATTGATAGATTTGATCTATTTGGTGTAGAAGTTTCAAATGTTCAGTTAACTAAACATCTTCAGGCATCATTTTACTACTTGTCCTTCTAGTTCAGAAGATTTATAACATGCAAATATATTACTGTTTGAGTTTTACGTCATCGGAAATCATCTATCAGCCTTGTAACCTGAAGGTCCCATCCCTCTGGGTGTTATGAATGCGTATTTGTGAAGACCTCCAGACAAGAATGAAACAGTTATTCAGTACTCCCTGGTTCAAGGCGGTTCTCTGACTGTAGTAGGTTCAGTGGTCGAATTCCCAGAAACACACATAAGTAATTTATAATGATTTAATCATACTCGGCGGTCAAATTATTCCAGGAAATTCGTAATATCTACATTCTGGATGCTGATGCATGATAGGTATACTACTCAGTAGTAGTATAATTTTAAAACTAAAATTGTAAGAATTTGTTATTCATAGTAAAATAACTAAGAAATGGCGGCCAGTCAAATAGAGTTCATGAGCAATGTTCCATCAACCGTATTTCGATTGATCAAAAGCATGCCACTTAGCGTCAAAATTAAAAGTTTAACACAGGATTTCGTTGTCAGTGACATTACTGAAAACCATGCAGCACTGGATAGTCGCTTTGTCTTGATCTCTCTAATTCACCTGTTGGACAAGGCGTTTGGTCAGTAATCTGAAAACCACTTGTCAACCTCCTGTCCCACTTCATGTATTACTTGTCTTCATTATGCGAACATAAAACGAAAAAACCAGAAATGTTGATTCACTGAGGTGGTCAAAAGACAGACATAACTCCATAAAACTTATACTACTTAAAAGAGGAATCAGTCCACATAGTTAGACGAAATGTTGACAGGAATTCCATCTCCAGGGAGAGGTGAAGAATTCCAAACTAGGACAAAACAGTTCTTCAATGATTCTCTGATGGATGTGTGTCAGTTAGCGATGTAACTTGAAATCAATCCAATTCCTACAAACCAACACTGATAATCGCAATACTCTTTTCTGAATGCTCCTCTCTGTATACACTATCTACTTACACCTTCTTATATTTTTTTTTGTACAGCGTAATGAAAAACTCTATGCCAGTATCAATGGTGCCGAATTTCTCCTTAGCAGTCCATTGCAAATATTCCATGATGGTCGTATGCATTTAATTACAATGGATCGGGATAAATCTCGGTTCAATTTCACAATAAATGGTCATCAGACATCCTATAATGTACCAGGTTAGCATTTGTATTTCTGAGGTATTTTCTCCTAGCAGCCGTCTTTATTCTTTTGTCTCCCTCTCTCTTTCTCTCTGTCGCTGCCTCCCATTCTTCTTCTTTTTGTCCCATTTGTGCAGTTTATAAAATGGGAAATTTTTCCAATTAAATTAAATAAACGACAGTCGTTACATCTTTTTTCAAATCCATCTGTTTTATAGGATAAACAATTAAGTAACTAAGACAAATAACCAGTAACTTTATACTCTATGAGATTTATCTCTTTAAAACCTACAAAGAAAAGAAAGATTTCAGGATTTCATCATGAGCTGACACTAGTTAGAGAACCATTGGAAAACCTGGGAGTACTGGACAGCTGTTTCGTCCTAGTTTGGGACTCTTCAGCAGTACGCACCCGCCGGGATTCGAACCCAGGACCTTCCGGTTACCACCTTGTAACCGGAAGGTCCTGGGTTCGAATCCCGGCGGGTGCGTACTGCTGAAGAGTCCCAAACTAGGACGAAACAGCTGTCCAGTACTCCCAGGTTTTCCAATGGTTCTCTAACTAGTGTCAGCTCATGATGAAATCCTGAAACCAATCAAATCCCTGCAAACCAACACTTGAAAAGAAAGATTGTTTAAATTCTATTCTTTGTACAAATATTGACGCTAAATCTCAGTATTACATATATATATAGGATAAAATACTGAGATTTACCAACTATGTCATAAAAAAGGCCGATACGTGCTGAAGACGGTTTTCAGTATTGTTATAAGTGAGCAGTGTACATGCGATTGATTATTATTATTACTGTTATTTATCCCGTGCTTTTCCAAGCGGAACAGAGGGTTTCACTAGCCCACCTCCACTCCACTAGATTCTCCTATACCATTACCCAAAATCTTTCATTACCTCTTCCCATCATCTGCTACATATCACTATAGGACTCACGCTCAAATTGTTACACCCCATTCCACTTGAGGGACTGGTGTGTGATATCCCTTGAATGTCTTCTTAACATATTACATCCAATCCATATTCACTTACTTCTGCATAATTGTTGAGTAAATGATAGGATATTTGCTGTTTCACTGTCTACCAGATTTCCATGATGGTTATCGTTTACAGTTGCCCATTTGATATTGATCATAGAGTGAAGGGGGGAGGTGTTAATGAAAGTCTGCAACGGATTGTTGGAAATGTTATTTTATGACGCGTGTGTTAAGTTTCTGAAGCATACAGGACCATTGACATTATGTTAGAGTTAAAAATTCGGAGACAATAAAAAGCAAAATAGCGTTCATGTGTAATGATGATTTATAGAAGTATGATACTCCTTTCATTCATTGGTCAATAAATATACTCATGCAGACTAGATTTGTCAACTAATGAAGAATGAGATATTCAGTCAGAGACGCTATATTAAATCAGAAAAATAGTCCATTCGAGCATAAGGGAACATGATAATACAGGAATCTAGACGAGAATTAATTCCAATAAGCAAATATCAATATAATGAAGCTTTATATATATATATATATATATATATGGAGAGAGAGAATGATTCAAGCAAAACGAAGCACTGGTCAACAGCAATTAGTGCTCTTAGCTCAATAGTAGTATACAGGACGCCAGATTCATACTTCAAAAGTGCTACTAGCCCATGTATTCTATCATTTTATTTCAAATTCAGTCACTATCACATTACAAAAGTCGATTACTTGTAATACTACCATTATTTAAAGTTTGTTCAAAGATTGATATGAGTCAGGGAATCATTGAAAACCAGCAGGGTATACTAGACACCTGTTTTATCCTCGTCTTGAACCCCCCAGCAGTACACATCCATGACGTCATAACCAGGGGTCGAATCCAGGACCTTCAGGTTAAAAGGCAAGCTTATTGACCATTCATCATAACCTGAAGGTTCTAGTGGGGTTTGAAGAGTGTAAAACTATGGTGAAACAGCTGTCCAGTACTCCCTGTTGGTTTTCAATCCCTGATCAAACTTAAAAGCAATCAAACACCTTCCAACTAATATTTCAGAATTACTATTGTTGTTTTATACAATAGATTATGACATTTTCGTTGTGTCATTCTAGTAGCGAACTAATTAATCAGTTCTAGTGAATTGGAACTATCCGAACCCTTTAGTAATTTGGTGGACAGTAACTAGTAGTGGAAACCAGAATGTGCGTTTCGTCCTATTTGGGACTTGTCACCGTATGTATCTGCATTCCTCAGAGAGTCATCGTGTTCCCACTGGTACCTGGATCCACTTCCTATGGTTTCAAACGTCTGGCCCTTCATTAGATGATATATGTTACTATCGATGATGCAGAATACTAAGGAATTTGTCTTCTCTATCGGTGCTTACCTGTAGTGATTCACCGCATTGGTAATTTATACTCTCAAGTGTAGGAAGTCAATTTTTAACCGACAGGCCATATGTTTAATCAGCTTTCTGATTCTACCACTTGTCTACTAATTGTTTAGCTAACAATCAGGAATAATATCACCTCCCACTTAGAAAATTAATTCAGTTTTTCATTCATAATCTGTTTACCTATTTATTTGTGTATCATTTTGTGATCGTGGAAAATGTTGCAAAAAAAATGGTTTCTCCGAAGTACATGAAAATACCATTACGATAGCATCACAGACTGAGCCATTTCAAAGTCAATAATAATAATTGTTATTATTCTTATTTTCATAATAACCAATCAAAGGATTATAATGATGGTGCCATTAGATGAAATAAATTACCCACTTTATTATTGAAATACTCCGGACTGCTTAAAGTCCACATTTATCGTCTGTGCAGTAATAATAATAATAATTTGATTGGCTTCATTTAAAATTGCATAAATCCTATGAACAGGAATATTAAACTTATTTATTAGGTCAATTCAGTTCTCATTTGTTCAATTTGATCTTGGTGTTTCAGTAATAATTTGTAGTAGTAGAAGTAGTAGTACATGACTGTTCCACTCATAACTTTAACAAGGTATGCATTCAAACACACAGGTACACACATACACAGATAGATCGGCAAACACATATAGTACAAACACACATAAATCATTTTACTGTACGCACGGAACACCTACGCGTGCGCAAATAAATTGTGAATGCGTATGTGTGTATTCACATGAGATAAAGACAGGCTGTGTATATGTTATGTGAAATCTGTGTGCTTCTCTTACTGTGCGTATGTGTGTGCGCGTGGGTGTATGCTAAATAAGATAGAAAAAGAAAACATTTGGGATTTGCTCTTTCTAGTAGTAGAAAGGTTAGTGAAATATGCAAAAGAGATTTTACACTGATTGGTAAAAATACTTTTTAAAGAAGTGCACGAACACACATTTGTGAAAATTTCTTTCTATATAAGCATATTTACATAATAATATATCAATAATTAACAGTCGACCTTCACATTATTTTGAGTTCTGTACACTTTGTGCTCAGGAATAACAAGTATATGCACTCAGAGATATATATTCAACCTTTGTGGAATGCTGTAGGACAATCTCCCCGATTAGCAGAAACAAAAAGGATATTTCATTTCGATATTTTTTCTATATAAAAGAATATCTAAAAATCTTGTCATAATCCCCAGTTATTACACGGATATATACATACACGTATAAAATCTTCGATTTTATTATAGTGTAAGTCATTGAATAATATTGGTATGATTTAAACAGTATTCTAACAATGTCTTAGTTGTATTAAAGCTGGTTTATCCAAATGTGTAGTGTATACAATTCAGATGTAGACTTATTGTTTGAGGATTAAACGCTTGAAGCTTATGTTAACCCTTTTCTAATAAGTTTCTATGATTGTCTAAAAACTTCTTGAACAAATCAAATGAGAGTGCTGACACCATATCTTCTGGCAGTCGGTTCCAAGAGTTTAGGACTCAGTAGAAGAATCAGTACGTCATAGCTACATAGTTCCCCCTTGACTTTCAAACTCTCCTGTTATGCTCTCTGAGATTTTCGAACCTGACGGGAAGGAATTTATTGATGTTTTATGTATATATATATATATATATATATATATATATATAACCATTCCATTAGATTTGTTTGTCCGTTTTTTCATGATATTCTTTTTTTTATACCAACAGTTGAACTTAATAAGTTCAGATGACCACATCATTTTTTCATATTTCCTTGTGATAACTAAGCATTTGTGTAAAAGGATGGTTTTTATACACTTTCTTCGAAAAAAACCCGCATCGAAAAACCGATATACCTACCTCTTGCTCCTGTAGAACTAAGTGTGCGGGCGTTCGACGCCGGTTTTATTCAAGACGGTGTAGGGAAATTACCCTATGTGATTATAAAAAGATGGAATTTGGGCTGTGGTGTTCACTCAGTGCTCGTGGCTGTGTGCTAACCAGTAAGATTATTATTATTCAAGGAATTTAAGTAAATTAACTGGATTTCTACAGTTATAATTGTCTGAGAGGATACATTTTGATGGAATTTATTCACTACGGCTTTCTCTTGCGCTTACTGTGGTCATCCTTTAATCACTTTTCTGAGAATTTTGATATCAGGTGTTATGAATCAATCATTAGGAAACTGTGATCGATTTAGATAGGTTTATTGTTTAGCATTCTGAAGAAAATATTTTTCTATGTCATTCTTAATCCATTGGATTGACGGAAAATGATAGAATGGTCAACAGGCTAGCTTTCTGATATCAGCAGCCTAAGTTCAACCCCTAGTAGGGTTGTTGGTAGTATGCACAGTCAATTAAGCACTGTATGATTTTCAATAAGTCTTCGACTGATGTGTGACAACATCTATACTAGACCTAATCAAAGAAAAACCTCGATTAACCCCACCCCTCCAGAAGAAAGTATAAGAGATATCATTATTTGTAGATTTTCTTGTCAGACTTTTCTCGAAAGCTAATCAACACGGGTTTATTTTATTTTTGATAATATTTCATTAGTTTCTCTAGACCGTTAAAGTGATAATAAGTTTTTTAGGTTTAACAAAGGAAA